CAGGTTCACCCATTCATGGCAACAGTTTTTCCTGCGGGGGATGGTGTTTACCAACAGGATAATGCACTATGTCATAAGGGTCGAATCATCATGGATTGGTTCGAGGAACATTCCAGTGACTTTCAAGTCATGTCTTGGCCTCCAAATTCACCTGACCTTAATCCAATAGAGCATTTGTGGCCCTACTTGGAAAACCAAATTCATGCTGCCACGCTACTCCCTCGCAATGTGATGAAATTGCAGGACCAGTTGGTGAGCGATTGGTACCAGATACCTCAGACTACCTATCAGCACCTTGTGGTATCAATGACAAGGCGGGTGCTAGCAGTTTTGAGGGCTAAAGGTGGTCCTACATGTTATTAGCAGGGTGGTCATAATGTAACGGCTCTTCGGTATATATATATTGCCTCTACATACGTACATAGAAAGTTATATACATGTTTACATGTATATTATATGCAAAATTATGTACGTGCGATGTATGTACAAAAAGCGTTTTTGCATACATTGTATTTAAATCTGTAAATTCGTACATATATCTTATATGCATATGTACTAACATACATGTACATGCATACGTACAAATAATGAATGAGTTTAAAATATATCTGTGTATAAGCGATTATACGTATGCTACATACACATATGTACGTCTACATGCATACGAACTTACATGCATTGCTCGTACATTAATAAATTGTATTTATATACGTACGTTCATTCTATGTACAGAAAAATATGTTAACACATACAGACATGCATAATTCATGCAAACTGAATAAGCATATAGTATGCAATCGTAATTACTTGTAATCGTATGTTTTAATTACATGTACTCGCAATTACTTGCAATCACGATTGCATGTAATCATAATTATATGTAATCATATATTTTGATTACTCAATCATAATCACATATAATCTTATTCGTGTATTTTTGTACGTATTTTTGTATGTAATTCTACGTTTAAAAGTCCTCATTTAGTAAACCAAACAATAGTAAACTGAACAATTCATTTACATATACAATTTATGCATTTCTTTAAAAGTATTCAAATACCTACAATCCCTATTACAATGTAATCAAACCCACTTGAAAATATGATTACATCTACTTGTGTTGTAATCATATAAATCACATTTTCTTGAATTTAAGATTACCTGCAATTGTTAGATTATGATAACTTATAGTTATGATTTTTGTAGTCTTACTTTATGATTACAAGTAGTCACGATAGCTTGCAATGCCAGGGCTTGATTATTTGTAATTCTGATTATCTGTAATCACTTTTTGTTGTGATTATAAATAATCATAGCCGCTGGTAATAAGAAATAATAATTATTTGTTACTGTGATTACTTGTAATCATGATTATTGCAAGTAGTTGAATTATCTATAATTAATTACATTTGCAATCGATAACTGTAATTGACGCGCAACTTGCAGTGAAAATGGCAAATGCTTGCATTTTTCGCTGGTTATTCGAAATTTTATTCAGAAAAATTAGTCATGACTGATGAATTTATTCATCAATCATTATTCAAAAATGTTCATAATGAATTATGAATAATGACTAAATTTGAATAGGATTAATCATTCAGAATAAGTTTAGTCATGAATAAAATTTCCGTGAATGATGCCCATCACTGATATATATATACATACACACACAAATGTCTCATAGAAAAAGACTAACGAATAATGATTTTTATCAGTATTGTTTTGTTGCATATGTTGGCGCAGTATAATAAACGTTGATGACGAAAAAAAAATATTCTTAAACATTTAAAACTTAACCGCAAGCTATTTTTTCCTGTTACAGTTTTCGTACTTTTCAGAACTAGGAACTACCGAATCATATTTCTAATTTTTTTTTCTTTTTTTATAATACATAAATAGATGGTTACGATACGGATAGTAATTTTGCTTAGTTTCTCAAGTCGCTTATAAATGTACTCTTCATAAATATTGACAACGTATTCAATTCTTACCATTTTCTCATTGCATCGGAATAAAGGTAAGTAGTTAAAATTGATTTATATCTGATGATTAAGTAAAAGTTTAATATTCTAATTTAGTATGAATTGTTTTTAGTTTTTTTAAAAAAAGTCGATCAGTTTAGCAATTTTAGGCCTTATTTAGCAAGCACATTAGAAAATTATGTAAACAGGCTGTCATAACCTTGGCAATGCTTAACCATGGCAAGATAAATTGCCCCAAATTTATCTTTACTTCCGATATATCGCATGCATAATACTTAAGAAAATGATCAACCTTTTTTTCCTTTCTTTCCTGTTTTCAGATACTTTGAAACTGGGATTTGATTTTCACAAGGACAATAGTTTTGAAATTCTAGAAGGAAGCTCTGTTGTTGCAAGCGGGGAAATAAGAAAATGGGAGAGTACTACATTTTCTGAGCCAGAGCCTTTTTACGACTGTGACGAAGCGTCAACTGTTGATGGAACAGATTTGTACAATGATTTAAGATTAAAAGGATACGAATATGGACCTGAATTTCAAGCGATAGCAAAAATGAGTCTCGACGGTACAAATTTTTTTTCTCCCTCAAATATTACTTAAATTTGAACTTCAGCTGAGATTTATATGTCAATGGGTTGTTTAAATATAATGCTAACACTAGAGGGTTCTCCTCTTTCTCGCTTTCCTTTTCCGAACTCAATGAATTCACAGTCATTTTTGTTTCGTAATAATGAAAATATTGTCACATCAAAATTTCGTATTCAAACAGAGATTTCGTATCAAATATTTAGTTTCGAAGTGCCGGTCAGGTGCCCGAGCGGTTAGCGTGTCTGACAACGGAGCCACTGGCTACGGGCTCGAATCCCGTTCTAGGCGTGGATGTTTCTTTCTATGTGTTGTCCTCTGTTGCGTGTGATGTGTGAATGTGGCCCACCCTATGAACGGGTATCAGTGGTAGTGTGGCGTGGATATTGTTGCGATCCTCCGTGACTTAGGTTCACAGGTGCCCACTGGGCAACGTTACATGAGCAACACTTCCGGCATCTTCCCAGGTGAAGAACGTAGAAATTCAGTACCTGCCATTAGAAGAAAGAAGAGTTTCGGAGTTCATTGAGACAAAAATTATCTGCATTTCACAAGAGCAGAATGGTCTAACTCAGTGCATTTTTTTAAACTGATATTCACATGGTTGTATGCAGTTTTCCCACATTAATTTTCATACACTTTCGGTAGTATCATCAGGTTAAATTAATAAAAGTTTTAGAAGTATCGTTTTCCTTTAAAATATTTTATATCCTAAACCATTTGGTGTTTGGTGACACTAAGGTTTTAAATTTTCCTTCGAGCTCCATAGTAGGAAGAAGGAAAACATGTTAAAAAAAAGTATTATAAAAAAAGTCTGCAAAAATGGCTGTAGTATACCAGTGTTAAAATAAAAAAATTTAAATTAAATTAATTGCAACGTCACTCAACATAAGTAGTATAAAAGAGGACTCTCCCTGAAAATTTATAAAATTCCCTGCACAAATACTATTACAACTTTTAATAATTAAATGCTGGTGACTGTCAAAGATACCTGGTTCCATTTTTGTTTAATGATCCTATCACGTTATTTTTCTTTCAGTTGAGGATATATGAAACGTAAAGACGACAATTATTTCTTTATATTGTGCAGAAATGAGCTCCAAAGAGTAAATACTTAAAGGCACTGTGCTTTCATTGTGAAGGACTGAAGTTTGATTCTCATTGATGGTTTGATCGATGGGTACCAACTCGCCTGGGTTGTAAAGACCACTTGAAGGCAATGTTGACCATATAGTCACAATAATGTCATTCATCTGGAAATTATGAAGCCTCATTATACATAACTGCTTACAACGAGCGGCCGCATGAATGCTTTACTTAGATAAAAATAGAAGGAGTTTGCAGTTGGCTTATTTTTATTACCAAGGTTTGAAGGGACATTGCTTACCGTAAACACTAAATCCATCCTAGCGAAAAAAATCCCTTGTACATCGCAAGAATGTTTAAATTTACAAAAAAATTTATTTAAAAAAATTACTTAAAAATGAGACTTTTTTTATCTGATTTGTAGACAATTATTGCCTGTTACCACCAAAAACACGCTTAGCTAATTTTTACACAGCCTATAGGTCTAAAAGTTTTACATTTTAAACCTACAAAAAAATTCTACATTCAATCACTTGCATAGCCAAATTAAACAATTTTAAGAAACAACATTCACTAAATATGAATATTGGTTTCATTAAAAATTGTCTGTATTAATTTCTACAGGCTCTAAATATATTTTACAATGGAAGGAAGGCAGATGGATACCATTTTTGGATGCATGCTTAGCTACTTTCTTACTTTCTGACAGTGAAAATGACTTCGTTCTACCTACTGGTGCTCTTGCTATCAAAATTGATCCAAATGCTCTGAAGAGGAAACTTGAAACTGATTTAAAACATAAAGGTACTACAATATTTTTCAAAACTTTGTTTAATTCCCTATCTTGTTTTGTACAACGTGTTTGTTAAATCCCTTTCGTGTCGATAAGTGTAGAATCTCACAATCGAAATTTTGGAATAATTTTCATTAGTTGGTAGGCACATAGCACCACTAAACATCCTTGTAATAACGATGTCAATCTCAATCGTTTCACCAATAAAAGCAAAGTTCATTTTACTTTTTATCACCAAGGAAAATTTTTCCTTATTCGAAAATCCGATAAACTAGATCTCTCAAACATTCACTGCGGCTAAGTGCTGTCGAAGTTTGAATCGTTTCTAAACAGACATAGAAGAAAAATTTATCGCCATATTATCAGCAAAAATAAACTCTCGTCAAGCTATAAATTTGGGTAACTTTCCGATTAGCTATGATTTTCAATATTTAACTAGAGATCTGTGCATGTTGCCATGATAAATCACGACTTTTCATAAATAGTTTTCGTAAATACAGTCAATTCGCTATAACTTGAAGTACGATTTCAACTATATACTATATATTTTATTTATACTTTTTATTTAATTTTCTTTGACTTTATCCATTTTTTAATTTTTTTCACCTGCCTTTCTTTATGAAGTAACGAGGCGGTTTCTATTTAGATAATGAATTTTTATAAAAGTTCTTTACGACAGAATAAACGTATTGCTGTTTTATATTAACTGTGTCATTTCGGAATCCATTCTTTACATAGTTGTTCATTTACTTTAGGGAACACGCGAAAAATTATACTTTTTCCTTTTGTTTTTGTATCAGAATTTTTGCAAGTTGCAATCGCGCAAACTGGCATTTCGATAATAGTTTTAAATTCTTGTAAATTCACTGCAAAAACTGAGGAAAGTCATTATAGAAAATAACAAATGTCTTAGAATATCTCGCAAAAAGAAATGATCCAATATTAGTTAGAGCTAGTAAGGCCAAACGCTCCGTTCTTGAAGTAAAAGTGCGAGCTTTGCGCCAAAGTGACGTCACTAGAGTGACGTCGGAGGATCGGCGCGGCGAGAGATACTTCAAAGGAGTGAACCAGCACTTCTATTCTCTTTAGCCCTGTAGCGAGCTGCGAATACTCTGGTCAAAAGCCTCTCAGCCACACTCAATGAGATCCAAGTCTGGATATCTGACTGTACAATTCATTCTCTCAATATCTTGGAATTCAAGATATCCTCAATCATTTCAGCCCTATGAGTAAATCCATAAAAAAGAATCTCCTCTCAACAATCTTAAATAGAGTTCCTAATACTTCGCGGTTATACCTCAGATGGCGCCTTTTTGACACTCAAGGTCATATAAAGAGATCTCCTGAACTGACCTTAACACGGGCGTCAACATAAACCTTAAACACGGGCGCAATTGAACCGTGTGATAAGACTCAATTCAAATCGAACAATGATTCTGGACGAGTTCACATGAATGAACTAGCCTTTTATTAAGGAGTGAAACAAAAAAATATATAAGTCTAATTGTTATGGTTTAGGCTGGCGTGGAGCTTTACTGTCAACCAGAACTGCTCGTCTTTCAGGGATGCATCTGATATCTCTAAATTATAGGGGAGAGATTTTAGAGTTCTGTGCTGTTTAGAGGCCTTCTCCGTCTTTAGTTCTCAGAGGATTGAGTGACCAGCCAGATCTCTAGACCTGAATGTTATAGAGTATGTCTGAGATGGTTTTCGGGAGAATTATTGCAGTAAATAGCTTATTTATATTTCAATTACTTTCGATTAACAAAATTTATTTAATATCATCGATTTCAATAATATTATGGAGGTTTTTTCAGTTTTCTTAAACCAATAAGCACCTTTTCTAAATAAGTTTTCTTCTTATTGCATAGCCTTTCTTTTATTTCAGTACTAAGCGACTTTTAAGTATCTCGAAATTTTAAATCGTGCACTTAAAAATCAAAATAATGTCAACAGAAAATAAAAAATACGTGTAGTCAGAAATCAATACTATGTGCAACATGAGCTATATTGTCTTTTTAAAGGGCAACTAATTCAGATTTTAATAAATTTTTAGTCTGATTATATATATTTAGTCTGATCACTTTCATATTTATTCAGGGGCACTCTTATAGTTGTTTCTATTTTCATATTTTTGAAACTAAGACTCATCCATCATCTTTATGTGTTTAACAAATATAAAAAATACATTTCAATATACTCTTTTCATAAAACTTTTTTGTCAGCATTTGTAATTATTTAGGAACTGAAACAAAAATTCAAGTATCCACGATATTAATTTTTTTTTAAAAACTTGTTAGATGAATAATAAATAACACTTTTAGGAGAATTTGCCATAGGTTTGTTATAAAAAAGTATCTTAGGATATTCCTGTGGGGTTTTTCCTATGGTAAAATTCTGTCATGCACTTTTGCCATAAACGTATGGCAAAATTTTAATAAATTTTTGCCATACGTACGTGGGAAAAATGTATGGTAAAAATCTTCATTTGAATATCTATGATATTTTTTATGTGGCGAATTTCAGCCGTAAAATTATGGTGTGTTATAGCCTCTGATTAAATTTTCCATAGGCTATAGCAACAATTCTTCACAGCCATGGCTGTGAAGAATTGTTGCTATAGCTTGTGGAAGCCTATGCTGCTACTGGAAATTATAGCCTATGTTTAAAATTTAGAAGCTTATCATACAACTATACGTAAGGAGTTTTATGCATAGGCAATAATAAACAAGAGTCATTAAATTACAGGAAGATCCTGGGACTTTCCACAGTGATTAACTACAAAAATAAATATAATAAGAGAAATTTGGGTGAGAGATTTAGTTATTAAATGTATGAGAAAAAGACATTAATTGCGTAAGAAAGCAAGGAACTCTTACCGGACAATACCAGGATAATTTAACTATTTTCAACAAAAATTAATTAGAAAACAATTAAGTCATTATGAGTAATGAAAAAAAATGGAATGAGCTTACAGATTTGTCGGTTCTCTACTGTTCATCAATCCGACAACATCAACGATTGAACACAATATCGTAGAAATGCACAAAATCTAGCATTTGTTGTTAGTGAAATTCACAAAACATTATTGTAGCCGAGAGAGCTAATTTGGTTCTAGAATACCCAATTGTTTATAAAATAGACTAAGTTAAAAAAATAAAAAAAAAGCGGAAAATTGTTGTCGAAACTAGTAGGATATTGATTAATTTCAAGAAGTTTAAAAATCAATCCAGCCAGATATTTGAAGAAAAAAATAATAAATTGACCGGGTACAAAAACTAAATGAAATAAAAATAAAAAATAATAAAGAAAAAACCTTCTAAGTTTGTTTGACCGAATAATGTTCTGTCGAGGAATCGGCATCATGCTCATGCCTTGCCGTCGACTTGTCGGCAGTGCAAATGAAGTTGAACTGCTGTTTTTTTGTTGAAACATTCGAAAATAATTTTAAATAACTTTAAATTTCTATAAGGTGGACGAACTTTATTAAACACTACAATTTTTTTTTTTTTGGTGGATTGGTTTAATTAACTCAGAATTAATTTGGATCGTCGCGGTTGCAGTAAAACACGCCTGCTTCGTTCACCAACTATGTCCACTTTCCCCCATGAATATGAATATGCGTATAGCGTGTTTTCTTTAGTTTGCCATATTGTACTTCCTTTTAATAATACCATGAGACTATGGTGTCCCGCCATATAATAACATGCAAATTCTATGGTTACTATAGGTTTATGGTGTCTTGCCATACAAATTTCTATGGTAACTATAGGCGTATAGTGCCATATGAATGCCATACGAATTTCTGTGGTTACCGTAGGCTTCAGGCATCTTGCCATATAAGTTTCAATGGTTGCCATAGATTACCCTATATTACCATGGGCGTGTATATGGCAAATTTTCCTAAAGGAATTTATTAAATGAGTTTCATATTTTCAAGTAAAAATGTTATATGTGATATTGAAGTTGCCTTCTTCATTTTAAGATTCTCTCCTGTTTCGAAATTTGTGTTAATTATGAATTTAAAAAGTTTAGAAATAAAAATATTTATTTATTAAATTCTTACTTATCTCAATAACGTATTGAATATTGCCGATAAGAAATAAAATAGTAACTGTTTCTTTCTTTCACAGGCATATAAAAATTCATAAAAAAAAAGATTTCCATATGAAAATCAGCAATAATTGACGGGTTTGAGCGAGTTCTCAAAAATTGTACATTTAATTTGTCTTTTTTATTACTTTGCTTAATCATTGTAACATATTATCATAAATGAATGAAATAGCATATGATTTATTTGTTTAGTTATTTTGAACTATACCAACTTACGTCAAACCAAATTTTATAAAAATCTGTCCAGTAGCTCTTGAGATACTTGAATAAATTAAAAAAGTTTCTTAATTTTCGAACACTGGTGTATATTAAAAGGTGATAGAAAAAGTTCTCATTCACCTCAATAAGTTTCTCATACACCTTCTCATAAACATCATCACCTCAATGAATTTAAAATTAATTTTAGTTGGCTTAATCTTATATTTGTTTTTATTTTATAGAGGTACCAGTGAACATCAATCGAAATACGAAAATTTGCCGTTCTGTTGGCATAGAAATCGAAAACATATATTTTGAAATAGCATCTCGTCGAATAAAAAGTACCCAACCTACAGTGGAAGCTCATACTTTTATACCATATGAATTCCAACACACAATCGAAGAAGATTGTAAAGTAGATCTTTACCAATACATGCAAACGTGTAATGAGCTGCTAGATATTGTTGGTCAGAAGTCAGAAAATAACGTAGAAAACATAAAATTTCAGTTAAAAAAGCAGGAAGATATTGATGGAAATGTTTTTGAAAAGTTTCCAAGGAACTTAAGTTTTCTGAAATGTTTGAAAGAATTATCAAAAGCAGAAACCTTAGCAGAAAAAACGCCCGTAGAACTTCGTTGTTATTTAAAAGAATTTGGAAATGATCTTTTAAACACAACAATGATCAAAGGATATGGTTTAAAGATTATGTTAGATATAATAGAAGAAAATACGTTTCAAAAGCTGAATATCTGCGAAATAAGTTCCAACTTTACCTCAATCTTGCCCGAGATTGATATTTTAGCAAAGAAAAATTCTTACTTAAAGTTTAAAAGCTACACACTTATATATGAACACAAAAATTCAGTAGATAAAGACATTTTCTCAAAGAGTGGTATTAATTTATGCCCTTCGTCATTAATATCAAAACTAACCAGTGAGAAGAAAGAAGATGTTGCTGTTTCTTCCTTTTATTGTGGCTCGTCCTCCGAACTAAAGCAACAGATTGAAACATTATGTTCCATCCTATCAAAAAACGGATTTATAATTTTTTACCATAAAGAAAAACTAACCGACCTAGAAAAATTCTTATCAAAGCAGTGTCATGAAAACATTCCTATACAGTCTCGCTCTACCCTGGAAAATATTCTTCATGAAAACAAACTGGAGGTTGTGAGCTGTGCACGTGATATTTTTGGGTCGGCACTGTATCTACTCCGCCCTGCTGTATCAGGCGGAAATCACGTCGTCGTAAAAATTACAGAAAGTCATGATTTTCGTTGGGTCGAAGAACTTAAACGACGTATGAAACAGAGTGATAAAGAATATTTATGGCTTGTATCAGAAGATGATTCCAGCAGTGGAATACTTGGACTGGTAAATTGTCTGAAACTAGAACCTGGTGGTGAAAGAATAAGGTTTGTATTAGAAGTACGATATACCTATTGAACAGTCGTGGCCAAAGATCATTGAAAAGAATAATAAAAATAAGACTAACTTAAAATAACCTTAAGAATAAAAGAAAGCTTTAAGTAGAAAAAAATACACTTCATATTTTTTACTGTTAGACAATAGTAGTTGGTTTTTTTTATCTTCAGTCACGACGGTGCATCATCAAGCTCTGATGACACATCTTTTATAACACAAATAAAATCATCAGTACTCAAACATTCAATGAAAAATTTCAACTCATCAGTGGTAAACTGTTAAATACCCTCGATTAATCCGTGGCGCCCCTCAGTTGCGGTTTTCCACTTGCTGAAAGCGGTAGGCCAGAATGGCTATGTTGTTGACGCACTGAACCGTCATTATGGAGAACTGGAGTTCGACCCCCACCCAGTTTCAGATAGATGGGTACCTGCTTGTCTAAGAAATAAAGGCGGCCTATGAGCAGTGCTGGCCACATTGCTACGATCATGCCGTTGGTCACAAAATTGTGAAGTTTTCATTTTCACACTGACTGGTCTTAAAAAACAGCCATCGAGTTTACTTTCGGTAAGTGGCAAACAGTTGAACAAAGTGGCTAAAAGCTGCGCGTCCAATTTTGTCGGGAAAGGGAAAAAATGGTAGTAATTTTGTTTCCAATGTGTTTTTTTTTTTTCATACTATATCGGGTGAGACTTAATTCGAGATGATAGGGCCAGTAGTTAAGTACTGATAATGGATTTCAAAAATACAATGTTTGACTTGTATGCATTTACGCATTTGACGTTGCTATTGAGACAAATGAAGTATTTAATCCTGCGTATTTTTACCAGTCACTTGTCAATACAACTAATTATTCAGAATTTTCAAAGATTTTGTAAAATAAAATGTACGACTTTCATTTTGAACATTTTTGCAGTACGAATTTTGTCTCATTTGATTCATCATAAAAATATACATATGAAGCAATATCTTATTTATATAGTTTAGGAGGTTTAGATTCGCAGATTTGAGTACGACAAACATTTTTTTTAACAAAAAGCCATTATTACACCAAAAAGATTATTTTTACCGCCTCGAACTCGGTCAAGCTCAATTTAGTGCAATACATCTATATAAAATACAATACTTTATTTAGATAGATAGCAATCTTAAAACTTTTCTTTTCATGTAAACTACTCCCATCAAAACCAGACGCGTGTGATTGTCCAACTTTTTGAGGAGTATATTTATCAGTTAGCCGCTGGACCAAACTTTTATTTCTTGAATGTCCTATGTACAGTACCTGTTCTGCTTAGAAAAGGTTTTCATTTTCATACTTTTCAAGCATTTAACGTTTCCCTGGGTAGTTTGCTTTCTCATGCTAATGATTTCAGCAATTTTTTCGAGGAATTTTCAATGTCCCCTTTGCAGAAGGAAACGCGACTTCCTTTAACTTGTCTCAGACATGATTGCCTCCAAATAATAAATTGAACAATAGTATTATACCATAAAAATCAACACATTACTATTTAGGTAAATACCCTTATGGGTGTTTTCTGGTCTAGAAAGCTTAAAAAACAAGATTTTTGTTACATATTTCGGAATCTTATAGTATGGGTTAAACATAGGCGAAACCGTTTACCCAGGAAACTATCACGGAACTATCACTATTGAAAAATGCGAACATCGGACCAACATTTTCGCGCCGTCAAGCTCTCACGGACGGTAATTAGGCCTAGATACAAAGGCAATTTACTAGGCAATTATGGCAATTTACTGGGAAAATGCATTGACACGAACAGTCAAAACAATAACAAATCGCTAAATTCGCATATTTGGTGCAAGGATGTGGCTTAAATTGCAATTACTTGGCTATGGTTATTTTTCACGACGGTTTCATGGGGATTGCCAATACCATGGATGTCATGGGTATTCGAAGTGGCAACAAGACTTTTTAGGGGCAAAAGGCTCACACTTGGAACAACGTGCGTCTACCTCCAGCAAAGTAGCTAGGTCTGCAGCGAACGAAATGTATAATCTCGAGGAAGGCGTGATGTAGGGTCCAGGAATCGCTGTGTGAGGAGTAAGTTCCGAAAACCAAAGAAAAACGTATAAAAACTTCAGACACGCTTTTTTTTTCTTCAAAAATCAAGTCAATTTTGTTTGGGATTCGGCTTTGCAAAAAAACTACTTGATCTATTTTGATGTAGCTTTGCACGACTAGGCAGAATTTATGAGACTACGGTTGGAATCACCAAAAGAATATATTTCGAAATTCCTTTTTTTTTAATGTACGTTTAAATGCCAAAAAAATTTGACTTTTATCATCTTTTTTTCAAAAGGCAGCTATTTAGTGAAAAAATTATACATTTTTTTGTTTCTAAACCATAGCTACACTCACGCATAATCGTTAATTCTTTATCTTGTCCGTATCAAATTATACAAAATGGAGATCTAGCTACGTGCCCTACCATCTTAGGCATCCTTTTTTTTAATTGTTTCGGGTTGGAAAATAATTAAAATGCTGTTAAAAAGTGATGAAATAAAACCACGTAATAATTATATAAGTTATCCTCTCATTTCACATAAAAAAATTAAAAATGTATTATAATTCAGACCTTTAAACCAGAAAACTCTTTTAAGGTTACATTACTAACATACGAGGTTCCATCTCAAAGTTTCGTTAAGCATTTTTATGACTCAGTGAGAAAATTTACATTTCTTATTCTCGATTTCATGTAGGGTAAACTAACCAGTGAAGGAACACTTAAGCTTCGCTTGTCTTTTAAAAAATCATATTAATTTCAAAATTCGTAATTTTAGTTAAAAGGCGGTGTCAACATATTTGTTACTAATTGCAAATTGTGTAAAAAAAATTGCAGAGAACTTACGTAATATTGTTTCAAAGCTTTGGAGGTTCAAATAACAAGTAGTAAGAAGACCAAGTGAAGGAACAGCTCTTACCAGTGAATGAACACCCAGTAAAGGAACACTTAATTTGGGTTATTTTTAATGCTCTTTATGAATTTATAAGCCATACAAATATTCAAAAACAAGTCTATTCTTGAAATTATAACACATAAATACTTGGAAAATGTTAACTTTTTTTTGTAATCATGAATGGAAAATTAAAGTGTCAACATATTAACACATACTGTTCATTCACTGGGAAATCTATGCCCAGTAAAGGAACATGCCTGTTCCCTCACTGGTTAGAAGTTGTTTTTCGTATTTTTAACATACTTTTGATGCGGAACATCACTAAAGGTACAAGAAAATAAAGTTTATCCTTTATTTTCATTAACTTAGAAAAAAACCCAGTAAAGGAACACTTGTTCTTTCACTGGTTTTTCATCGTTTGGTGATCCAGTGAATAAACATCCCCTTATATCAGTACTTTATTATGCTATGATGCTTTAAAAAAATAAAACGTAACTTCAATAACTATATTTTAAATTCTCTTTTTCACAGTGAGAAAAATAAAACTATTACATGCAATTAATTCCACTTCAAACATATAAATACAAACACTCACCTTATAATTTTTTCAAAGAAACATGATGTTGCAGAGATAATTACAAATTCAAAATTTTTTCCAGGGAAGTCTATTTGACCAGGTAATCCAAAAAATTGCTAGATGACTTCCTATTGTTTGGCAGAAAGCTATTGTTACCAATCAATCTAAAGAAAAACTTTCAAATTCTTATTTTTAATCAATATATATGAAATGTTCCTTCACTGGTTGGTTTACCCTAATTATTTTTTTATTCCATGCTGTTCTTTGTTTCCTCACTGAAACTTGTTTCACCTCAATGTTAACCATTAAAATCTTCTTTGGAACCTTTAAAATTTGGACAATTTTTGAGGTTCCCAGTAACGATATTCGATAGCAATTTTATATAATCATATTTATAGGTGAACGATAATTTTTTGGAAGAACAATAATCCCCCGTCTAAGATTTATTAAAGCATTTTTCTTTAAATTCACCAACTAAAGCTTTTATTCCCACTATTCATAATAAAAATAAAATATAATTAAAAAAAGGTAGATAATTTGAATTTTAAATAAGCTTGGATTGATTAGTATACAAGCAATCTATAGTCAAACGTCTCATAAACTGTTTCTAAGTGATAAATAATGAAGATAATTAGTTGCCAATATTTTATCTAAAGATTTTTAGCAGTGTTTGAAATTATTATGTATTTTGCGCTTAGTATTGCAACTTCTAGCGCATAAGCAATTAAATTTTTATGAACATCAACTTAGGAATTACTGTTAATTTTTAGGTGTGTATTTGTCTCATCTGAGAATTTGGAAAAAATGCCTCCGTTTAGTCTGGATAATCCTTTTTACAAACATTTATTAGCCAAAAATTTGGTGATGAACGTTTGGAGGGATGGTTCATGGGGCTCTTTTCGGCACATAGTACTTCCAAAACGTAAGTAATGAATTCGATAATTTTTAGCAAGTATTTTAGTTCAACTATTTTGAAGTTTTTCGTGTTTCACTTTTCTGTTATTTTAATTTTTTTAATAAAACTACCCGATTTTTCTTTTGAAATTAATTAACGATGATTTGTGCAAAAAAAAAATTCGGTATTTTCTTTGGCTTTCACAAGTTATCTAGTATATAGTATAAACTTTCATTTTAAACATGGGTATACGGGAATTTTACTTGAGTTTCATTAAGGAAGTTTCATGGATAGTTTGTTTTAATGAAAGAATAAGGAATTTCATTACATGCATCTGCAACGTTTTTAAAAAAGTTTCTCAGAAATCAAAATTTAAATCACATACTTACAACTCTAAGACTTTATGTTTCACTTTAATATAAAATTCAAGGGATTATTTTATAATTCTGAAAATTAATGGAAATTCTGCGCTGCTATTAATTGTTCAGACATTAGTTGCAAATATAATATCTCTCGAAAAGTTAAAGGAATACATGCTAGCCTGTTTTTTAACCGATAGATGAAGAAAAATATCGAGTTTATTTCAGGTGAAATATCTTATGTTATTTTTTTGTATTATGTTTTTCAAAAAAACATATTTAATTCGTGTATTGTTCTTGAAAGTTTTAAAAATAACAGTAAAATTTCGATTAAAAGAAATTACAATTTATAAAATTTGAAAGATAACATTTCAAATCATTGCTTAAGCTTTAAATGCATATTTCTTAAATAATAGTTTTCTTTGAAATTGCGTGGCAAATAGTCTGAACTGCTTCCTAGAAAAAAAAATTTAATGCCATGATTTAATTTTTAGTTCAATGTGATTTTTAAATTTCCGTATCCCCGATGGGCTTACTTGGCTTAAGAAATAACAGTTAAAGAGCTTTAAGGTTATTACGGGCAGTTAAGGGTGTTACCTGCAACAACCAATAAGAGCATCTTACCTCTAACATGCATAGGGATTGTTAGATAACTTACATTCAATGGCTGTTCTTTCCTTAAGACAGATCATCTCTTTGAACATTATATGAAATACATTTGCTAAATCATTGAAATAAATTATTACTTTTTAAAAAATTTTTACTATAGTGATCTCTGGTACTGTCTCTGATACTGTTACTACTACTGATACTGTTATTCTTCACTGGTATTGTCTCTGATATATATATTTTTTACAGAAAAGGAACTGAGAACTGTAGAACACAGCTCTGTGAGATGTAGAAAATATGGTGACCTCTCCTCATTTGAATGGATAGAATCTCAAATAAAATATACAGATTTGAGAGATAACATTCTAGTTCATGTTTATTATTCTGCTGTAAACTTTAGAGACGTTATGCTTGCCTCTGGGAAACTTTCACTGGGAACAGTTAGATCAGAAAAAGGTAAACAGATCATTCTAATGCAATCACGGATCCTTTCCAGTAATTTATAATATAATTTTTGATTTTATAAATTAGACTATGAATGCATAAAAGTTTTCGCACTTAACTTTTCCATTATATTAGTTAAAAAGTTTTTATTCAAATTTATAATTCAGCAATAAAATTCAGACACGTTGTGCTTGTTGTGGAGTAACTTTTATTTGGAGCAGCTTACCAGGAATAAGCAAATAGATTTTACTAATGTAATAGTTCAATCAGTAAGTCATGAAGTTTACATGCATTCAGTTTAGTTTTTGATTCCGTAAGCAATACAATAATTGCGTAAAATTTTCAGCAATTACGTTTCTTATCAAACTTCTAATCAATCATTACATCATAATACTTCTAATCAATCAGGTTGATCGAAAAATGTCTGGCCAAAATTTAATGCTGTAAAAAGGGATCGATAGAAAAGAATTAAGTACAAAGCATGTTTAGTAAAGCATTGTGAAAGTCCCGAAAATTGGAAAGGTAAAAGAAAGAGGCAGAAACAAATTTAACAAGCCTTTTTTTTAAATCAACGATAGACAACAAATACTCAAAAAAGCTACCTATAACCATAATACTTAATTCAGATTAACGCCGCATTAAATGGTGCACACCAGCAAAAAATTTCAGCAATGTCCAGCACATCTTCGTCAACAACAGCTAATTTGGTGACGAGATCGACACCAGTATGCTTTTCACGAGGAAAAAAAAAATCCTTACAAGATTGATCTGGTCAGGTGTCAATAAATAGTTTCCAAATAATTCTTAAAGATTAAATTGTTTTGGTGTCTCTAAATTGACAGAGACATAATTACCAGCCGTTTAGACAAGACTTGATGCAAGAAGATAAGGTATTTCAGGCCGTTCAAGCGATGAGGTAGTCGCCCTCAACCACGTTTCCGAATTCGACTCGTTCTGTACTAGCCTCTTCTAAGCCTTTTAATTTTTTTGCTAGACATTATTGTGTTCAGGGTGTCAAAAATGTATGGAAACAGTCAAATAAAACGAAAAATAAGCTGGTCATATGAAAAAAATCTTGAAATGCACGTGTGAAAATTTTTATAAAAGTGTACCCCAATTTGACTAACAGGCTGCGGTATTTTAGGTCATAGATGGCTCTGCAACTTTCAAATTAACATGGAGTAAGAAGTGATTGAAATAGAAATGTTTCGAGAAATGCATGTTAGATTGAAAAGAATAAAAACAGGCTCCTGTAGTATTTTTGAAACCAATCTAATTATACCAAACTCAACTCCCTTCTTCACCTTTGAGGTTAGATCGACGCCTAGCCTATAAAGTCAAATCGGTATACTTTTTACGGGAAAACATTGAATGTATCTTTTGAATATTTTTCACTCCTGTAATTTTATGTTTCTTATTCAATGTGTTTTTTATGCTAGGTGCATTTGACCATTTGCTAACACTTTGGAAACCTTGTACGTAAAACGTATGCTCAAATCTGAAAAATCAGGTTTTTCATTAAATGGTTTCTAACATACATTACGAAAATTATTCTTACATTTTATTTAAATTTTACGACGACTTATTAGGAAGCTTTTTTTTATTACTCCTATTTGAATGAATACGTGACCGCAGTACTATGATCTATTTCAATACGTGAGCACATATTTTAAAGTAACGGCTTTTTATCATCAATTATCAATAATATGTCGCATCAATTATCAACAATAGTCGCAGTAACTCTATTATTGAGAAAATGTAGGTAATTGCTTAAAACAAGGCGTAAATTTTTCCGTATCATTTACTACACAGCTGGTCTTATATTACGACAAATACTTGTTATTCGACAAATTTTGAACTTAAAAATTTAATGTAAAAAAGTGGCGAATAGATAAAATAAATCTTGATTATATATATAAAAAAAAAAGATATTTCTATAGCCAGAATCGTCATCTTTGTATATATTAAAAATAACTGTTTTAGTTTATTGCTTTAATTTTTAAAATTATTCTATTGGGAAACACACATAGAATATTAAGAATTGAAACTATATTCCAAATTTATAATGTTTGCTGCCATAATGAATTTTGTTAAATTCAGATGTAATAATATCTGTTTTAGTTGAAGTAAAAACTATAAAGTTAAAGGAATTGTAATGAATTTTCATACGGAAAAAGATTTTATTGAGTCAATTATGGAATCTGCAGAAAGTTGAAAAAATTTCAGTAAAATCTAAAGGATTTCAACAAAACTTGAGAAACAGAATATGATTGCATAAGATTTTTTGTTGTTGATAATTTCATGTTAGAAAGAACTATTTTTGATTGAGGAAATTGAAATCAAAATGTTGTGGAACTTTCAGATTCATGTCTCGGTCTGGAATTCTCTGGTCGAGATGTGAGAGGCCGTCGAATATGTGGACTATTAAAAGGCCATGGAATGGCAACAACCACCATTGTAAACCCAGCACTTGTTGTCGATGTACCGGACGAGTGGAGTCTAGAGCAAGCCGCTACTGTACCCGTAGTTTATGCTACTGTTTTATATGCCCTAATAATGCGAGGAGGCCTCACTAGAGGACAAAGCATACTCATACATTCCGCAACTGGTGGTATTGGATTAGCAGCTACTCGAATTGCAATTCATTATGACTGCGACATATATGTGACTGTTGGTAAGTAAGATAAGTTTCGAGCGGATTAAACCAATGAATATCAGGGACATGGAGCCAAGAAAACGTTTGGTGCTCCAGCTCCGTTTCTAGATAACACGGTAAAACTCCACTGCGGCAATTTTATTGCATAAGTATGCGTTTTTGAGCATCAGATTTTAATTTTAAATTTTTAGTATAAGAATTTTAAAATCCTCAGCTCACACAGAAAATGCAAATTTAACTTAATTCGCAGTTAGGTTATTCGCTTATTCTTAAGAAAATATTAAATATTGTAAATCCTCCTTCGCATTTTATCTTAAATCATTATAAATGTATTTTAATGCCGAGAATAGTCTTCCTATAGTAACTTGGCTTACTGGAAATGCCATTACAATGCGGTTTTTGAGTGTCTGTGAAATCCAATGAAATTGTAACAATCTTAAAGGATGGGAAAATTTAAAGCTCCAAGTCATGTCCCAGCTCCAGAACAATCCAATTTCGGGCTCCTGTTCCCTGATGAATGCACATTGTAGCATTATTATATATGAGTACTATGAAAAGGACCAGTATTATACCGTCTAATTATGCCCAAACTGAAGTAACTTGAATGTAGACAGGTGCCTTTCAATCATGCGTAAGTTGGAGTAAATAGCAATGAGAGTGATTAAAGAAAAATACGTTGTTGTCATCAGCAATCGAGGTACCAATTTTATGGAGGGAGAATCATTGCTAAGACAGCCGTGGACTTATTACGCCTCACTAAAATAGCATGCGCAACTGCTACCCGTTTCGAACTGTTGCAACTGCAAACGAAATGCATAGCTTCAACGGTCTCGGTGTAAAACATAATTACTATGTTGTCCTGATAACATGGAAAGATTCATTCCCGCTAACTGAAAGTTTTTCAGGAAATGAGGAAAACAACTTCCCTTGCTTCAAATAAAAAATATTCTTACTAGGGCTAATATCAATTCTTTTTTGTATTGGATTTAGAGCTTTTTGATTTAATAAAAAATATATTATTTAAATAGATTCAGAAATGCCCCAAGAAGCATTTTGAAAAAATTTCATTCAGTGTATTTTAATTTATCATGGTAGAGTAATTTACGAATGGAATAATGCTTTGTATAACCTCGTTGCTGTTCTTATAAATTTTCTTCTGTTGTATAAATTGAACTTAAACTGGAGTTTTATGGATGGTATTTTCAAAACATCGAGAGTAATCAATTTTCGGCAGTCATGCATTCAGGTCACTGTATATGTTCTAAAATAAGGCGATACTTGATATTATATTGTAAATTTTACAGCATTAGTAATATTTTTACAAAATAAAAATTAGTAGACAGTACAAAATATGCTGCTTAACTTCGAAAATAGAATATCAAATACAATACCCACAAAAATACATATACCGAATATAAAAGCTAAAATTATTCATACTGAAATGGCTATTTATATGCAAACAAGACTATATTTTTTAAAATAATAAGTAATAATATAAACATATTTATTAGCTTGAATAACAATGTCAAATTCATGTATATGTATGAGTCGGAATTCGATCTGTAAATAACTTCTTAACTGTTAGATACATCGTCTCGGGTTCGGGTTTGTATCATTCGATTCAGAGTAAACAAGTTGTATCAGAAACATCATAACACGAGTATGTTAAGATAGCAACAAGTGTGGCGTTCATATCGGGCCTACATCACTAATTTTAAAGCAACAACTTCCAGCCATAACTATTTCTGCATTTAATTACTCTGGCAGGGGTCAAGTCTAAGGAAACAGTCTTATTTCGATGATATTTGAATGACTTTTGACATTCAATGCAAATGTCCACTGAACGTATTTATCTGTGAATAGTTATTGTGGAAATAGTAAAACACAGATGCATGGTTAGTGCCATGGTTCATTCATACCGCATAAATATTGTAAGTCCAAAGAATCTTCAGTTTTAAAAAAAAATAACCTTAAACCCCCAAACTTCCCTAAACCTCAAGAAAAAATTTTTTCTTTTCTTTTCAAAAATCAAAAATATGTGTCTAATTGCTTCACATCAAGATCATATCCCAAAAATTTCAACAAATCAGAAATGTCAATTATCCAACCATATCTCTTGTAAAATTCCGGCTCTTTATTTTGGTTAAATGCACTTCTCTCTACTGTAAAAATAACAGCTCAATAATTTCTTTTATAATTTCAAGGTAGTGAACAGAAGAAAAAATATTTATGTCATCTCTTTCCTCAACTGAAGAAGGAAAATATTGCAAGCTCCAGAAACAAAAATTTTGAACTCATGATAAGGGAGAAAACAAAAGGAAAAGGTATGCATGGAGACTGTTTTTCCTAATATTCAAACTAGCATATACTTTCAGACAAATATGTTTTAGTTCACGTAAATGTATTAAAGCATGTAAATAAGAATAACAGAGCATGAACAATAAAATATAAAATAATATTTATTCTTTGATAGTTAGATTGTACCTTAAAATAATGGAACTGTCAAAATCTTATAAACTGCTTGGCTTTCTCATTCTTTATAGCTAATTACTCCTCCATCCTAATTCGTAAGTTAATTATTTTTCTTTTAATTTTCTCACATTTTAAACACTTCGTTCCTTACGTCCACACTTCTCTAATAGTTAAATTTGGTTATAAGAGAAAAGGTAATATAAGAACTGGGTAAACTATACGGAAGTGGAGAAAATGGAAGAGGTAACTATTTTTACCAATGCGAGGAACTTGAATGCTACTTTGAATTACAAATAAAATATTTGTATACATTAAGTTCGACTATTCAAAACTACCACCATTTACTTTGGAATTTAAAATGTTTGTCCGTTGTGAAGGCAAGCGACAACTTTGTCTTCGAATCATCACTAAAAAGGAATACCAGACTATCGTCACTCACTCATTTTACTGAAACTCAAACTTTTCTCAGAAAAATCATTTCCATTTGTTGAACTGTATTACCAGATTCCGAGTCTGAAATCCCCTTAGCTTGACTTTTTTTCGATATAGAAAAACTTTTTAAGTCCAGATCATTTAAAAAAATTTTTTTAACAGAAAATCGTTTATTATAATCAAGTGGATAAATAAAGTTACATAAGTGACAAAGTAACATAAGTAGTAAAGTAACACGAGTAACATAAGTAACAAACCATGTAACATAAGATTATGAAATCTTTCTTTTATCGTTTTTATGACTTTGAATTTAAATAGGTTACTTGTTCTAAGAATATCTGAATGTTTCCTAAATCATTGTCAAAAAAATTTTAAGAGGAACAAAAACATATTAAAAAGGATTTTTTTAACAGAAAATCGTTTTTTATAATCAAGTGAATAAATAAAGTTACATTAGTAACAAAGTAACATAAGTAACAAAGTAACATAAGTAACATAAGTAACAAAGTAACATAAGTAACAAAGTAACATAAGTAACAAAGTAACATAAGTAGTAAAGTAACATGAGTAACATAAGTAACAAACCATGTAACATAAGATTATGAAATCTTTCTTTTATCGTTTTTAAGACTTTGAATTTAAATAGGTTACTTGTTCTAAGAGCATCTGAATGTTTCCTAAATTATTGTCAAAAAAATTTCAAGAGGGAAAAAAAAACATATTAAAAAGGATTTTTTTTAACAGAAAATCGTTTTCTATAATCAAGTGAATAAATAAAGTTACATAAGTAACATAAGTAACAAAGTAACATAAGTTATAAAGTAACATAAGTAACAAAGTAACATGAGTAACATAAGTAACAAAGTAACAAACCATGTAACATAAGATTATGAAATCTTTCTTTTATCGTTTTTATGACTTAGAATTTAAATAGGTTACCTGTTCTAAGAACATCTAACTGTTTCCTAAATTATTGTCAAAAAAATTTCAAGAGGGAAAAAAACATATTAAAAAGGATTTTATAACTCTGTCGGACAGAGGAGCAATGCGAATCTTCCGATTTACTATACAACATTAAAAATATCTTTTAGATAAAAAAAATCAATTTCTTGCATAATTTCCTCTTAAAATAAGAAATCTGCAATTTTTTGTTTACTGCGCACGATTTTTCCGAAAATTCATATTTTTGTTTGGTGGATGGCACGCAATAAAAACTTACAGGGCAAGGAAATATGATCTCATCGACAGTGAAACTACAGCTAAGTTGGAAATCTCAGTGACTTTGACGACATTTTTAGTCGTAAAAGCCGTATCTACCTTCTTGAAGTTTTGAGACTCGCTTCAGACGTATTAGGAATCTAGAAATCCTATAGAATTAACTAAACACTTGGCGGCTTTCCTCTTACCGAAAATGGTTCGTACTGAACCTTTTTGATATATCACTCAAGCACCATTTGTTTATACAGAATCACATATTTTTATCTAAAAGGAAACAACTTTAAATTTCTTGCACAGTGTTTTTGGATACCGTGTTCGAAACTCGATTAGCTTAATTTTTTTTCTCGCACTTGTCTAAATCCTCATCAATCCAGATAATATTTGAAGTTCAGATAATTTTCGAATAGACATTTAAGTTTTATTTTTACATTGAACAAAAAAATTGTCTGTATTTAATAACTAAGCGAAATGTTACGGTAAATATTTATGTCACACTAGAGCAATACAATGGGTTATTGGCTACTGTCTGCGAAAAATCCCCGAGGACAAAGCGGAGACAGCTTGCATTCGTCACATCCCATTTTAAAGCTAAGACACATATGCACACCATCTATCCGTAGATCGTAATTTTGATTTGAACCAGATCACGATCAATCTCCAATCCAGTAGCCCCAGAGGTATCGATTTATTATGAGAACATAGAGGACTTTGTAACCCCGACAGATTTAACATGCACCAATCACCACTTTGTTCACGGGAAGCCTTCGGCCGGCTGGGTTAGAGCTCAACATTTCTCGGACATGGGTCCAACAACCTACCAGACGGGCTATCCCGATCCAAAACGAAAGATTACGCGAATTATCATATACAGCATTATTTGCTAAGCTCTTCTTGTTGTAGATTATTCATCATTAATTTATTTTATTTTATTAATTCAAAAAATAAACTAAAGGAAAATTCGAATTTGGACTTGCCGTCCATCAGTTTTCATCGCCGCAGAAATCTTGTGCTTACAGGACTGAATTTAATCAGAATAAACTTGTTTTAGAACCCATTTTTACCCATTGGGAAAATGGATTTTGCTCCAGGTTTTTCATGTCAGCACACTTTTCGACTAGATTAAATTCATCGATTATACAAATATAATCACACAAGAGGGTTAAGCCCCCTGTTCGCTACCGCTCACCAATCCCGATGATTGCTTCGTAATAATTGTTTTTTCCTGCCAGAAAACATTTTTTTCTACTAAAGTTAAAAATATTCACTTAACATCTATGTACTAAAAGGAATTCTGTTTACTTACGCTCTTGCGCCTCTACTTCCCACTTCCAAGTATTACTATGAACAGAAGTGATTTTTTAATTATCATTTTTTTAAAATAACATTGATATTCTTAATACATTATATTGATCAAACAAATTTGATGAGTTCACAACCATAATTTAAAATTTTCACTAATAATAGCAGTACTGAAAAATAACTTTAAATTAGGGATACAAAAATATTTAATGGAAAACAATACCCTTACGACTTTTGTTAATTTTATGCTGATGACAGCCTAAACAATATGGAAAAGAATGGGGAGAAACTGGATCCTACCACGTGATTTTCCGGCCAATAGAAATGCGCCGACAACAATGGAAAACGGTATCAGACCATTATGATTTTATGTTATATAGAGAAATAAAAAGTTGTGAGAGTCATAAATGATCAGACTAACATAAGCATTAATAAAAAAAAACAGCACAAGATAAAATAAAAAATAGTAGTTTGTGTTGACTCGAATTTGAAGAAGAAAACGCAGTGCTATAAGCGAAAGCAGAGAGCACGCCGCACTTTACTATACTCAATACTCAAAATAAAAAATGTAGAAGATAATTTTTCAACTTGAAATTAAAATTGAACTCAGTACCCTTTCTTTGTAAGATTCTTAGTTCGAACTCAAATTATTCTTACAGGTGTAGATTTCGTTCTAAATTCTTTGGCAGATGACAAATTCCAAGCTAGTGTTCGCTGTGTGGCTAAACATGGGCACTTTTTAGAGATCGGAAAGTATGATTTATCACTGAACAGAAATTTAGGTATGTGCTGAATTAGCTTTTTTCAAATTAGAATGGTTTAAAAGTATGTATAATATATCAAGAGTACTAACTGATTGTTGGAAAGTTGTTATTAATTCTAAATATCCACACATAGGTCTTATAAGTACTCTTCCNGAATTAGGATAAACTACGTACTTTTTACTTGTACCGGCGGTACAAGTAACGAAAGTAAAAGTACTGCCATGTATGATCAAGAGTACCAACTGATTGTTGGAAAGTTGCTATTAATTCTAAATATCCACACATAGGTCTTATAAGTACTCTTCCTAGTTTGTCATAAGATAGTAGACATAATTTATATATCGATTTTTAATTCTCATATGGTTTGTTGACATGATTTATAATGATGGTATGATTGACATGATTTAAATCATTTGAATTAAACCATGATTCAATTCGTGATTTAATTCATTCACTTTATTTTTTTTTAAAAATCATCGATTTAAATCAACTGATTTTTTATTTAAAACAATCATTGATTAAAATCGCAATTACGTTTTTTTAGAATAATTTACAAATATATTCTTAAGGTAGCGATTTTTTTAAATATGATTTCATTGGTATTGAAGATTTTATCTAGAGAAATACTGGGAGGGTAATGCGTGCAAATTATAGACAAAAAATATATTTAAAAAAAGTTACCAAATGTGGATTAGAATGATTTTAAAATTTTAAATTATTACATTCCATAGGTTGCGGCAAAAATAATTTGCTATTTAAAAAACCAATTTCAATACGACCCCAATTTAGTTTCTCTTTTATTTAATTACAAATGCTTCTAAAACTTATTAGTTTGAGCATATAAATAATGAAGGAAGCTCTACCAAGAATAGTATAGAATAATTTATTTTTTTAGTCGCTGGTCTAATTAAATTTACCCCTGATCTAATAAATTAATTTTTTAAAAATAATATGGTTTTTGCCAACATTGTTTGCATTAAAAAAATGGTTTCATCAATTTTCTATTTTTTTTTCATGTCATTTTAGGTCTAAAAGTATTTCTTAAAAATATTAGTTTCGATGCCATAATGTTGGATGAAGTGCAAGATAGTCCAACAATATTTAAGGTAATAGATCTTTTAAAGAAAGGCATTAGTAGCGGCCTTGTCCAACCGCTCGACACAACTGTTTTTAAACGACATCAAATTGAAAAGGCTTTCAGATATATGTCCAAAGGTACACACGTTGGAAAAGTCCTCGTAAAGGTCAGTCATCGTTTTTTGTTTAGGTCAATAATATTTTTAAGCTATCACTTTTTTACGGAAAGATAGGTAACAAACAGTTTCAACGTACAGTGCGGAAAAAATAACGGACCACCTTGAACAACTTTTGATCTAATAATCGGATTTCCACCTTCTAGGACTCAATCTTCATGCCTCGAGAGGGTGACCTAAAATATGCTAGTTAATTGCTGCTGACGATATTTTTAATTACTAAATCAGACATAAAAACGTACTTTTTCTGAAAAAAAAACAGCTTTTTCGACGGATTTGGATTTCTGACCCCCAAACAGTCAGGAAAGCGACCCAAAGTTTAAATCCTTTAATGTTAATTTTACTTACTGCGCATTTCGCTATATTTCGAAAACTTTTTAAGCAAATTGAAAATTTTTTACACTCAATTATAAAATTTGTTTATCCAAAGATAATTCCATGCAAAAAAATAACGTTTTGTAAATATTTATAACTTTTTATAAATTTATTAAATAACAGTCGAAATTTTTTTGCATCGTTAGGTAAATAACTTTTTACATCATTTTAATGTATGTAATTTTAATGGCTAGATACAAAATTTGAGCGAAATCAGTCAAATAGCTTCAGTGAAATTGAATTTCAAAAAAGTCAGATACTTAAAATTTGATTTTTCGGGAACTATTCGACCGATTTCGCTCAGATTTTGCATTTTGCCATGTAAAGTTACATTCTTGAAAATGATGCAAAAGATTGCGCAACTTACAACTCAAATATTTTCGATCATTCCTAAATAAAATAATAAAAATTAATATAATAATAAAAATATTTTTTTGCATTGAATTATTGCTGGATAAACGAATATTATAATTATGTATAAAAAAATTTCAATTCGTTAAAAAAGACTTGGAGATATAGCGAAATATGCAAAAAGTAAAATTAACATTAAGGAGTCCAAACTTTGGATCGCTCTCCTGACCAAATTATTGAGACCATATTTCACAGATACTGGTTTTGCCGCACTATAGGGTAAATTAACCAGTGAAGGAACACTTAAGCTTCGCTTGCCTTTTAAAAAATCATAATAATTTCAAAATTCGTAATTTTAGTTAAATGACAGTGTCAACATATTTGTTACTAGTTTCAAATTATGTAAAAAAAATTGCAGAGTACTTACATAATATTGTTTTAAAGTTCTGGAGGTTCAAATAGCAAGTAGTAAGAAGACCAAGTGAAGGAACAGTTCTTACCAGTGAAGGAGCACAAAATTTACCAGTAAAGGAACACTTAATTTTGGTTATTTTTTAATGCTCTTTATGAATTTATATGCCATACAAATATCTAAAAACAAGCCTATTCTTGAAATTATAACATATAAATACTTGGAAAATGTTAACTTTTTTTTTGTAATCATGAATTGAAAAGTAAAGTGTCAACATATAAACCCGTTAACGCGCAACTTAATTTAAAATTGAAATTTTGTTAAAAACTTTTAAAATTATGTTCAAAACACTTAAATTAAATATAATTCAATTAATGCATAAATTAATGTGTGTGCGAGTTTTTTTTTTTTTTTTTAATTTTATAAAAACTGGTAGCACAATTGTTTCATGATTAGCTTTTAACTTGTCGAAACAAAATATGAGTGCGCTCTAAGATGATTTATTAGTTTAAAACTTATAATTTAGATATATAAGGACTTTTAAAAGATCAATATAATAAATGTTTACTTAATATACACATTGAAATAAAAAACTATGATTGGAAAATAACTATTGCTTACAGGATGTCCCAGGATTATTGGGACAGACTTTAAATGCAGGTAGAGGACGTCACAAGGTTTTAGAATTGCATAGCAACTCATGCTCGAAAATGTCAAGAGAAAGAAGTATGACGGAAACAAAGAGACACAGGACTGAGATCTTCTGAAATATAAATTTGTCAAAGATATTTCATGTAGTATGGTAGATAATATGTGAAACTGTCACAAAAGATGTTCAAAGTTTCCACCACTTCTAGCAATGCGTGCGATACATTGTCGGGCCATGGATGTGCAGACTCGTTCAATAATGCACCAGGATTTCGTTGGATAACTGCAACAGCAATGACGATTCTTGCAACCAGATTCATTGCGGAAATCAGAGGTGTTGCGTACACAGCACTTATCAGTGCACCCCTACAATACTCTTGTGGACAACATCACCTGGAGGAGAGCGAAGAAGTTTCCAATACCGGGTTTCTATTCAAATCTTAAGCCTATTTATGTTCCCTTTCTCTCCTTAAAGTTTAACTTCGCGACTAGCTGGGGAGCCATTCCCTACTCGGAAGATCAAAATTGTGCTTGCATGTCTTCGGATAATCGTCAGGAATGAGCCGATGGCTCATGGGATAGAGCATTCGGCTTCCAATGAGGTGAACTGGGTTCGAATCCCAGCAATCGCTAGTCCATACGAATTCCACACTCTGCTGGTACCGGCCCCAGTGCTGACGTAAAACATCAGTGGTAGACGGATCATGGGATAGAGACAGGCATCATTATTAGCAAGCTGACTTATTTTAGTTAATTTTTTTTCTTCAAATAAATAATAGTTCTTTTTTTTCAGCTCTCCATCATTACAGCCACGATTTCCAAATACGTGCTAATTCAAAGACAAAATAATTTTGAAACGCATAGTTGAAACATTTTTTATCACACTAGTCATTCAGAAGTCAAAATAATACTTGCCTTAATCCTTGTTTAACTTATATTATTTTGCTTTAAAATAACTTGCGTGGAATCACAACCATGGAAAAGCCATTTAAAAGTATAGCTGCATAAGTCAAGCTAAATCACTTATTACTTAAACTTAATTGCTGCTCTTAAAAATACTTTAAGGAGACTAAACTTTTTTTTATTTTTATAAACAACAGTTAAGAATTTTACACTACCAGTTATCATCTGAAATAATTTTTTTTCCTTTAGTATTTTTTTCAGTATTTATTTGAATTGGATTTGATGACATGATGGCCCACCAAAATATCATCGGTTGGCTACGATCTCTTTCATATTTTATTTTAAATAAGTCTCAAAACGTTTTTAATATAATTTACGATAAAGAGTGAATCAATTGGTAAATTCTGTGTGACATATCATTTCAGATAAGAGACGAAGAACAATCGAAGGTCACACCTCCAGAAACTTTAATGCTACAAGCTACTCCAAACACATATTTCTATCCAAACAAATCATATATTGTTATTGGAGGTTTCGGTGGCTTTGGAATGGAAGTTACAAAATGGATACTCAAGAGAGGTGGGAAAAAAATAGTCATAACTTCAAGGAAAGGACTCAATGTTGCCCATCGTAGGCTGTGGCTCAAACAATGGAACATAAACGATGTTAGCGTCCAAGTGTCAACACTAGATGTTTCTAAATCCAATGAAGCTGAACAATTGCTAAAGGAAGCTAGTAAACTAGGTGCAGTAGGAGGAATATTTAATTCAGCGGTGGTAAGTAGTACTTTTCATGTAGTTTAATTACGGGATAAATTATTACTATTGTACTCATTTGGTTTATTGGTATGAAAGCCGCCATGATTACGAGACACATGTTATTGGGCTCTACTTACTAACATTCAGAAAAGGATATCATCTTAGACAAATCATCAATCAAATCAAAAGATATCATCATCAATCAAATGATATCACCTTAGACTTTGTTATTTCCCATTAATATATCTTTAAAGCCTATGAAGTTTTTAATCGGCTAATGTTTTTAAGAGTTTAGTGCGGGAGAACAATCCGAAGCTTGCGCCCCCAAATATTAATTCCCCTTTTTGCGCATTTTGTTAAACTCAAAAATATTTTAAGCTAATCCAAAATCTTTTTTTTCACACAGTTATAAAATTCGTTTGTCCAATGATATTTCAATGTAAAAAAGAATTTTCAATAGCTATTAATTTTATTGTTTTATTTAGGTTCGACGATGTTTTGGAATTTTTGTAGGTATACAAATTTGTGCACAATTAATTAGGAAATTTTAAATGACAAAATACAAAATTTAAACGAAATCAGTCTGGTAGTAGTTCTGAAAAAAAAAAACACTTGAACAACTTTTTTTTCTATTTCTTAAGAACTAATTAAACGATTAAGTTATATTTTTGTATTTTTCCATTTTAATTACAAAATTTTAAGAGGTGAATAGATGTATGTATTTAACAATTCAAAATTTTTTCGACCGTTATGAAATAAAAAAACTATATACAATTATTAAAAATTATTTTGTACCTGGAATTATTTTTAGATAAACCATTTATATAATTGTGTAAAAAACTTTCTCGGCTGTTTTAAGACTTACCAAGAAATGACGAAATACGCAAAAAGTAAAATTAACATTGAGGAGCCAAACATTTTGACCGCTGTCTTAACAAAACAATTGTGCCATATTTCAAACATCGTACTTTGATTGTTAAAATTCCAAACATGTTTTATAAAAGGTATGTTTAGTTCGAAAAAGTACTTTTTTGCACCTGTACCAATAAATTAGTATATTTCACCAGGTCACTCGTTTGAACCACTAAAATTAGCACTTAATTTATGCAAATGTGATCATTGGAAGAAAAGTTATTCAGGGTAATATCTTTTCTTTTTCATGCTTTACTTTTCTGCACACTGCATTTCTATACCTTCAAAAGCACTTTCTTTCTTGCAATCAAAATAAGGGTATATATAAGGGTATAAGGGTATACATTATAAGGGTATAAGGGTATACATTATAAATGGATTAGATATATAAAAACAATGTTGTTGATGAATTGAAAGATGAAGTATTGAAAGATGCTTTCATAAACAGTCAAAGTCCGGAGACTTTCAAAGATGTTTGTGCCGTTAAAGCTACAGCAACCAAGGTATTAGATAAACTAACTACAAAAATGTGTCCTGATTTAGATTTCTTTGTTTGCTTTTCTTCAATCAGTTCTGGAAGAGGAAATGCTGGTCAGACTAATTATGGTTATGCTAATTCTGTAATGGAACGCATATGCGAAAAGAGGAGAAAATCTGGACTCCATGGTAATTGAGCCTTTTTCTAAACTCTGATTGAAAGGCTAGTCTAGTAGTTAGCCAATGAGCTAGTCTATTATCTTTGACCGCTGTTCGGCTTGTTTACTAGTTAGCTTAATGTGTTCCATAGCACCGAATTTTTTAACACTGTTTATTGTAAAAGTGCGCATTTATAAGTAGGGTTTTTTTTACGCCAATTATTACAATTATTATTATTAGATATTAAGTAATATTAACATTCTAGGAATTATAAACTGACTTTTGATGTTGTAAAATTGAATTATTTAATGATTGAATTATTTAATTATTCATCATATTTAATTTGAATTATTTAATACATGAAAATAGATATTTTTAAATAACACTTTTCATTAGAGAAAAATCAATGTTCTGTCATTTGTTTTGTAGGTACAATGTGCTTAGACCATATTAAGATTAGATAATAAGTATCTTGAGCATTCTTGGAACGGAAAATTTAATTTTATACGTTAAAGAACACGCCTTTGAAATTGTTTAAATAAAATGCAGTAATTATTTTTAAATAAATGCATAGTTCTTTCAAACTCTTTTAGTGTCTTTGAATGTTTACTAAGATGCATAAGGTGTTGATAAAGAATAACTCCAACTTATGAAGATAATCATAGCTTATGTCGAAATTCTCCAGCGATTTTTTAAAGTTAATTTGACAGACAGCAAAATTTTTTAAACATTATAAATCACGTTTTATTTTTTTAAAGCATATATAGTTGTCTTTGAGTAGTAGACGTCGTCAATTATTGTTTACTTAAAGTATGTTTACCAACTTTAAAGAAGCAACATTGCTTTCGTGAGAGTTCATTTCAGTATAATGAAATAGCCTGATACATAACAATTATGCTACTGGTTTAGTTCCAACAAATTCTACTAAATTTGGAAAAATCCGTGAAGTACTACACTTGTCTAAGCTTGGTAGACGTCTCCAGTTATTTTTTACTTAAGTGAGTTTACCAACTTAAGAGAAGCAACATTGCTTTCATGATAGTTCATTTCAGTATAATGAGACAGCCTGATACACAACAATGTTACTGGTCTAGTTCCAACAAACTGTACAGAGTTTGGAAAAATCCATGTAACGTTAAATTTTGGCACTTATGCTATTATACTCAAATTTTTTTACGGCAGTCATTTGTTTTATTCAATTTAGCTTTTGTATAATAATTTAACTAAAAAAAAAACTTGTTTTTTACTATTGAAAAATTACACAAACTGGATGAAAAAAATCTAGCGGAGTTTCATTTTTTTGATTCCGACCTTTTTTTACAAGATTTTTTTAAGTAAGTTTGTACACTGAAGAGCCAAAAAAAAAACTGGTATACCTGCCTAATATCGTGTAGGGTTCCCGCGAGCACGCAGAAGTGCCACAACACGGATTCGTCATGGATTCGATCAATGTGTGAAGTAGTGCTGGAGATAATTGACACCATGAATCCTGCAGGGCTGTCCATAAACCAGTGGGAGTAAGAGGGGGTGGGGATATCTTCTGAACATCACGTTGCAAGGCATCCCAAATATGTTCCAACAATGTTCAATAATGATGTTTTACCGGATTTCCGATACTCACGGTATACTCGTGAAATGGTCGTATGTGAAAATCCAAATTTCATTTCTACCTCGGAGATGCTATGCCCCATCTCCCATGCGCCAACTATAACACCACGTTCAAACTCACTTAAATCTGTATAACCTGGCATTGTAGCAGCAGTAACCGATCTAAGAACTGTGATAGACACTCGTTGTCTTATATATGCTTTGCCGATCGCAGCGCTGTACTTTGATTGGCTTTATTTGCATACTCATGCCTGTACCAGTTTTTTTGGCTCTTCAGTGTATAACTATTTATTTTTTCATGAAACCATAAATCCTCTTAAAGGCCTTGTTTTTTTTCGAAAAACAACATTTTTTAAAATTTCAAAAGTTATCAATAAAATAATAATAAACAGTAACATAATAAACATAACAGGGTATTCCATAATTACCTGCTTGCGTATTTATTTTAAGAATTCCACCAGAGATTAAAAAATACATTTTTTAGAGTCATTCATTAATATTTAAGTGTGGTGAATACGAAAACACATAAATCTACAAATTACTGTTGAGGTTGGGTTAAAATCATCATCCTTTTTGTTTACTAAATGAATCCAGAGCCGGAAGCTAATTATTTGCAACACTTTGCAAAGCTAGAACATTTTATTACTGAATTATATAATGGAGTGATGTAACAAGTTTAGCAGGGGCCATTTTTATCAATCAATTTTCAAGTTATCAATTTTTGAATCAAACAAGTTATCAATCGTAAAAAATGGGTTAATATTAATAATGCTAGGCATTTGTTTTAAAGTATTCCTCAAAATATAGAAAACGTTAAAAAGTCAAGAAAAGTTTTAAAAAACGACTTGATATCACATAATATAAAATAGTCATAATTTTTTCACATTTATTTTTAAAAAAATAATAAAAGGCATATGCGCATTTTCGATGAAAAAAGTGGCTTTCAGGTGATGACTGGCAAATATTTTTTAAATCACNTAAATCTGTATAACCTGGCATTGTAGCAGCAGTAACCGATCTAAGAACTGTGATAGACACTCGTTGTCTTATATATGCTTTGCCGATCGCAGCGCTGTACTTTGATTGGCTTTATTTGCATACTCATGCCTGTACCAGTTTTTTTGGCTCTTCAGTGTATAACTATTTATTTTTTCATGAAACCATAAATCCTCTTAAAGGCCTTGTTTTTTTTCGAAAAACAACATTTTTTAAAATTTCAAAAGTTATCAATAAAATAATAATAAACAGTAACATAATAAACATAACAGGGTATTCCATAATTACCTGCTTGCGTATTTATTTTCAGAATTCCACCAAACAATAAAAAATATATTTTTTAGAGTCATTCATTAATATTCAAGTCTGGTGAATACAAAAACACATAAATCTACAAATTATTGTTGAGGCTGGGTTAAAATCATCAAATCCTTTTTGTTTACCAAATGAATCCAGAGCTGGAAGCTAATTATTTGAAACACTTGGCAAAACTAGAACATTTTATTACTGAATTATATAATAGAGTGATGTAACAATTTTAGCAGTTGCCATTTTTATCAACCAACTTTCAATTTATCAATTTTTGAATCAATCAAGTTATCAGTCGTTTAAAATAACAGTTAATATTAATAATGCTAGGCATTTGTATTAAAGTATTCCTCAAAATATGGTAAACGTTATAAAATTGAGAAAAGTTTTAAAAAACGACTTGATATCCCATAATTTAAAATATTCATAATTTTTCCACATTTATTTTTAAAAAAATAATAAAAGGCACATGCGCATTTTCGATGAAAAAAGTGGCTTTCTGGTGATGACTGGCAAATATTTTTTAAATCGCCATTTTACATTTTGTCACACTCTAGAATAGACTATGGCAGTGTCTCCCAAACTTTTGAGTACCCTTTCTAAATTTTTCGTAACGCTGTGTGCCACGAATAAAAAAATGAATGTATTTTTTAATATAAAAAAATTGCACAAAAGTTAAAAATCACAACTGGCTGTTGATACCACTAATTATTAACTGTTAACACTGCAAAAAATAGCCAATAGAAAAATACGTAATCGTACATTTTCATGGCTAGCTTTGTTTTCAAATAAAATCTTTTGAAATTTTCGTTTGTTGCAAGATATTTCGCATAAGGACGCGTACCCCAGCTAAACTGTTCCCGTACCCCTGGGGGTACGCGTACTTTGGGAAACACTGGACTATGGTGACCATTAATTTTACTCTATCTTCAAAATACCTCCACGTTTCATTTGGCTTTGTTCTCATCTTTTTCGTTCATTTTTCCGCCTTTTTCATTACTGAATCGACAGATTTTGTTTCTTCCATACTAATAATTAATTTCCGGCACCATGAGCTGTATTTTTTGTAAGAATTCTAAAAACAAATATTGAGGGTAGTGATTGCAGAACATCTTGTATTTGGAACCTTTTTTTTTTCAGGACTTGCTATTCAGTGGGGCATCATCGGTGATGTTGGCGTCGTATACCGAGAAAAGAAAAATGACGCAATGGTTGCTGGCGTACGAGCACAAAGCATTCAATCCTGCCTAGATACATTAGATTTGTTCTGTCAAACCGATTATCCTGTGACTTGCAGTTATGTAACTTTAGAAGATTCTGAAAAACCGAAAACTCAAACAGTCGATGTCTTTGATAAAGTAACAAAGCTTATGGGTAAGTTAATTTTTTTACCCCTGTCTTTTGTCCGCATTTCATATATTTTTAAGAGTTTAGCTGCCAAGCAGGCCCGTAGCCGGGGGGGGGGGACCGTCGAGACAAATCCCTTCCCCCGAAATTCTGGGATTCAAACTTTTTAGTCTTTTTTTGAGCCTCTCAGCAAAAAGAAAAACAAAAACTGTCGAATCAAACCTTTTCCCAGTACACCACCTTCGTTAGTGCATCATCTTCACTTGACCTTGTGGCTCATCTTTCCTTCAGCCATTACATTTATTGCTTGTTATCAATATTGCCTACGTTGCCAATCACCACAGCAACTGCAGAAAGAACTTTTTGTACTCTTAAACGCGTAAAAACAGCAACAAGAAATACTACTAAAGAAGAAAGGCTAATAGGGCTAACTTTATTAAGCATATTTCGGGATATTCCGGTTTGTCCTAAAAAAGTAATCGAAAAATTTTCTTCAAATTCTTTTTCCAAAATTCTCTATATTGATGTTTATTTAGGCCAGTGGTCGGCAAACTTATTAGCCAAATATGAACATTACAACAATTTTTAAAAAAATTGGGAGCCAAATCTGCTTGTTTAGTAAACTTTTATTACACTAAATTTCATACTTAATAAGTATTTATTAATGCGAACAATGTGCTTGCATCTCCTTGGAAAGTTTGAGTAAGTCATGTTGTTGTTTTTAATTTTAGGCATGATTCCAAGTTCTCATCAATCTCAGTTTACTCTTGATAATGTTCATGCTTGAAAAAGATTGTTCGCATATATATGAGGAACGGAAAAGAACAGCAAAACGCTAGCTTTGAATTGGCGATGATTAAGAGTTTTAGCTAAAATGGAGTTGATAATGGCAATCACTAATTCCATAACTTCACAAATTTCATCCGGAAATGTTTGCGCACACAGCGCTTCTTGGTGAATGATACAATGGTAAACAAGTATCTCGTGATTAATTTTTTCTTTCAAAATAGCAACAAACCCTTTTCTTACGCCGGTCATACTTTTGGCCCGATCTGTTGAAATCGACACAATTTTATCGAGGGGAATATGATGTTTATCCACGCACTCAATTACAGCATTTGCGATATCTTCTCCACCTTTGAGTGGCAATAATCCTAAAAGTTCTTCGTTAGCGCCTGAATGAGACATAAATCTTGCAAAAAGTGAAACTTGCGCTGCATCATTTATGTCACAAGACTCGTCAACTGCTATTGATAAAGCCGAAACCAATTTCAGATCTTCGATATGCTGGGTGGTTATATTTGAACACATTTTAATTATCCTATCTTTAATGGCTTTGGCAGACAATGGTACCTCTTTAATACTTTCAGAATATCTGCTTTGTTCTTAAAATCTCGTATTAGCTCTTCTGATTAATTTATCAAAATAAGATGTAATTTTTTTCCTACCAAGTTTTTTTTTTTTATATGAAAATATTACTGCGCCTTCCGTGGATATTTATGCCAGAGCCGCACTTAAGAAGCCAAAAGGCCACATGCGGCTCTGGAGCCGCACTTTGCCGACCACTGATTTAGGCGATTGCATGTTATACACAAAATAATTATATGCAAAACAGAAAAAGTGATTATGTGAATGTCGATATTCTCCGAAGACTCTTGACATTCATTAAGTTCGGTCTTTCACAGAAATATACATAAGAATATAATGATTTTCTTGTTTTCAGGGATGACAGAAGTGACAGAGTCTTTTCTTAATCGACCCTTAAAGGAAATGGGCCTTGATTCTTTGTTGAGTGTTGAGATAAAGCAACTGATTGAGAGTGAATTCAATCTAAACATCACGATGCAAGAACTGATCGATATGAAATTCAGGGACATTAAAAATCTCTCTGTCGAAGAATCAAGAAAAGGAGATACCTCACAGACGCCATTATCTTCTGCTGCATCACGATGCAAGAACTGATCGATATGAAATTCAGGGACATTAAAAATCTCTCTGTCGAAGAATCAAGAAAAGGAGATACCTCACAGACGCCATTATCTTCTGCTGCATCCATTAAACTTTCGCCGGAAGCACAGTAAAGTGAGAGATTTGCGCCCGTAATTTATAGAAAAAATCATCTAAAGATCCTCTTTCTATTTTACTTCACAGTTTTTTAATTAATTTTCTACATAATCCGTCTTCCAATATTCTTTTCTTCTTAAGCCAAATATTAAAAATATTTTACCATACTTAATTGGGTCAGGAATTTCTCATGCAGTGAATCTTCCTAAGTTTCTTGTGAGAGCTTTGGGTTTCACTCACTCACTCTTTTAGCCTAAATTTTGTTTACATATTATTTTGAAATTTTGAAGAGGAAAATGTGGTTGGAAGCTAGACAGGATGGCCTCTCAAATCAGGTTTCATGTTCCCCTGATTTTCAAGTAAAAATCTTAAACTTTCTAGGTCAGCTTTTTTTTTTTTTGCCCCCCAAAAAGAGTAAATGTTCTAACGTATTTTATTTAAAATATAATTTTTTTAATATATCATCTTGAAAAAATAATTATATTAAATTTATTTTAACAACTTAGCAAGATTTTGTTTTTCATTTTTCAGAATTTTTGATGTTTTGGTACAACATTTATTTTAAAAAATTAAAATTGATGCAGAGAAGATGATATGTTTAGCATGTAGATTGAATAAAAATGTTTTTATTGAATAAAAATGTTTTAATGTGTTATTTTAAGTAGCTTTCACACAGAGAGTACCAAATAGCAAATATAGAGCATATATTCAAAATATAGAAAAATATAGAATCTATAGCAAATATAGAGAAATATTCAAAAAACCGTGGACAAGTATTGTTTAATATATTTTTTTAAGCGAAAGAAAATAATTCTAGGCGATTATACATCAATACATTTTTAAATTTATTTTTGCTTTGAATTTTAAAATTTGAATAACATTTAAATATCGAGCCGTTTCACCCTATTNTCAATCTAAACATCACGATGCAAGAACTGATCGATATGAAATTCAGGGACATTAAAAATCTCTCTGTCGAAGAATCAAGAAAAGGAGATACCTCACAGACGCCATTATCTTCCACCGTAAGCACAGTAAAGTGAGAGATTGTTACAATAAAGTGAGAGATTTTGAAGTGATTTGCACCCGTAATTTATAGAAAAAATCATCAAAAGATCCTTTTTCTATTTTTCTTCACAGTTTTTCAATTAATTTTCTACATAATCCATCTTCCAATATTCTTTTCTTCTTAAGTCAAATATTAAAAATATTTTACCACACTTAATTGGGTAGAGCAAGTCAGGAATTTCTCATACTGAATCTTCCTAAGTTTCTTGTGAGAGCTTTGGGATTCACTCACTCACTCTTTTAGCCCAAATTTTGTTTACATATTATTTTGAAGAGGAAAATGTGGTTGAAAGCTAGACAGGATGGCCTCTCAAATCAGGTTTCATATTCTCCTGATTTTCAATTAAAAATCTTAAAACTTTCTAGGTCAGCGTTTTCTTTTTTTTTTTTTTTTTTTTTTNTTTTTCTTTTTTTTTTTTTTTTTTTAATTTGCCCCCCAAAAAGTGTAAATGTTCTAACGTATTTTATTCAAAATATAATTTTTTTAATATATCATCTTAAAAAAATAATTATATTAAATTTATTTTAACAACTTAGCAAGATTTTGTTTTTCATTTTTCAGAATTTTTGATGTTTTGGTACAACATTAATTTTAAAAAATTAAAATTGATGCAGAGAAGATGATATGTTTAGCATGTAGATTGAATAAAAATGTTTTTATTGAATAAAAATGTTTTAATGTGTTATTTTAAGTAGCTTTCACACAGAGAGTACCAAATAGCAAATATAGAGCATATATTCAAAATATAGAAAAATATAGAATCTATAGCAAATATAGAGAAATATTCAAAAAACCGTGGACAAGTATTGTTTAATATATTTTTTTAAGCGAAAGAAAATAATTCTAGGCGATTATACATCAATACATTTTTAAATTTATTTTTGCTTTGAATTTTAAAATTTGAATAACATTTAAATATCGAGCCGTTTCACCCTATTTTGTCCAAACAGTGCTCTTTATAAAATTCATTAATCATATTTTCTTTAAATCAATATCTTTAGTCAAATGTTTATATGTTGTTTGTTTTGAATTAGCATTATTATTTTTAGAGACATTGTGTATTTAAAAATGAATGTCACAAATGCAAAATTGTCGAATATTTTGTGTCATTCTCTATAGAGAAAAGCTAGATAAAATTCTGAAAATGTTATTCTTTTTTTTATTCGAAATCATATTTAAAGAATTCCAATCTAACCACCTGGTTTTTTTAACCACCTAGTTTAAGAAAAGTTAATTGTTTTTACATCTAGAAACCTGTAGCTGTAGAGTAAAGAAAAGTTTTATTTTCCTTCTTACTCATTAACACATATCAATAAAATTTTTATACTCTATGCTTATACATTGTTAAACATGTTTCTCATATATTCCTTAGTTTTTGGCCAGCTTTTTAGCGAAAAAGAAGTAACAGTTTCTGAAACATCATCGGAAATGTTAACAACACAAAATTAGTCTTTAAAAAAAACTTTTTTGAATTAAAATCAGTGGCCCCCATCCCCCCCCCAAGCTCTTGGGCGCATTCTTGGGTAAATTCTAAATTCTCCCCCCCAAACTATTCATTTTATTTAGTGTAAAAATTCCCCCCCCCCAAGCTTCAAGTGGGTGCATCACGCTCCCACCTCCCCCCCCCTGGTGGGGGCCCCTGATTAAAATATGTTTTAAAAGGTTAAAATGATATTGAGAAAATTAGCAACAATTATAGCGATTTTTCGCAAATTATTGCTGCTAACGATTGTAAGAAGATGTGCGATTGGTTGGCTTGGCAGAGAAAAAAATTACAGATATTTCATTGGCCATGAGTACGATATCTTTTAAAAAAATCGTCTGAAAAAAAGCATACTGTTATTAAATTATAACAAAATAATTCTTGGAGAACTTTATAAAGTTAAAACTACTAAAAGATTTTGGATCATTTTGCCAAATAAAGAAAGTATCTCCAAAGCATTGGAACAAACTTGAACGATAAATAGATTCAGCCCACAAACTAGAAGGAAGGAAAGTACTTTTGTAAACAGGAGCAAATATCCTAATCCCTTCTTCTACCCCCCACCACAAACTAATGCCTTTCAAATACTGCAAAGTCCCATGTGCTGATGATATTCCGTTAGCAATAAATTTCTGGATAAAAAATAGTGGGTATAATTAATGGTAAAATAATAGTAAAATTAGGGAAAAAAATTCTAGCTTTTCTTTAAAATTCACTGATTTTCCCAGGCTTTTATCTGAACTTCACCGACTTTTTCATTTTTTTTCCAGTATAAAAAAATTTCTTGATAACTCGAGGTATGCAAGGTTTTATTCAAGGTATGCAAGATTTTCCAGGTGGGTGGCCACCCTGCTAAAATATGTAGAAAATTAGTAAAATAAATAATTGAGGGGAAAAAAAAGCAGAAGAAATATTTATTTTTAATGATTTTTTTAATTAAGAGAACAAAAACACGTAAATCTCCTAATCTTTCAAATATTCATGTTTAAGAACCTTCAAACTACCATGCTTCTAAGAAGAGATTTAACAGTTATAATAATTTTGCCCCTTAAAAGAAGTTTTAAAATTGCTGCAAGAAAGTTTGGAAGATTCATTGGAAGACAGCCTCCTAACCACCCCACCTTCAACCCTTTTTAGCCAAAGTTTTGACTGAATGTTTATATTATTTAAATGTATTGAATAATCCCAAGAAACTGAAACAGTGATATATTACTTGATAAAAAACTTCCTTCTTATACAAATGTACAAAATTAAATTACAATCGACATATTTTAAGCACTTAAAAATATACTATCAAGAATACGAGATATCATCAAACGCTGCACATTGTTAGAATCTTGGGCATAAATTTAATTTCGACAATGCCAAAATTATATCCACCTCAGTCACATCTTGACGAACTGGAATCTTGTTTTATTCGTGTGAATGCTCTGATTCCCTTATAAAATACATTAGTTCCACTCTTTATAGTGCACGGAAATGCATTTCACCCTGATTAGTCCCTCTGTGCCACATGGGTTTTCTTGTTCTATTTTTCATCTTTTCCTCATCTCGACTGCTGTTTGTTTCTCAGCTTTATTTTGCCATTTGTAAAACGGGCACCTTTTATAGAACTGCTTGAAATAAGTCGACTGTTATTTTCAATTTAATTTGCTTTAGGGGAATGAAGTTTTTAATGAAGTAACATTATTTAAGGGTGTTTGGAAAATTGAAAAGTGAGAAACTGGAATATACAGAAAATAAATTTAAAAAATGTGAAAAAACACTGAAAAAACTATTATTATTATTTTTCACTATTTTTTAATAACTTAAGGAGGTAAATATCCTTGCTACATCTGATTATGATTCTCAACTTTTCACCTCTTTAGCCCCTAGGGAAAAATGTAACAGTTAGAATTATACTTTTTCTTTCCTCTAAATTTGGCCATAAAATTATGGTAAAGTGATTAACATACTGAAGGGGATATTCCCAGAAATCAGAAGGTGTTAGAGGAGATAGGAGAGGTAATTATATTTAAGAATCAGTTGGTCAGTCAGGGCACAAAAAGAATATTTGGCAGTGCATTGTCATTCAAATGTGTTCTTAAACTTTTGCTTACAGCTGGTACCAAAACTACAAACTTCAGCAATGCTAACCACAGTACCTAAAAATTAATGTCAATTCAACTTTACTTTGACATACCCTTTTTAAGCATAGTTTAAAACTATCAGATGTTTTTAGCATAAAACTTAGTATTTTTTAAAGAATAAAAGATTGGTGAGTATTTCTTTAACACTTTTATAGTTTTTCTTTTTTAAAGCAAACAATTTGCATTGGCAAATAACATAACTTAAACTACAACTATTGTGTCAAAATATTACACAGGTGAACTGTGCACTATTTTACAAAAAAAGTTTAAATAAGTAGGTAGCAACGTTTATACAATATTAAGAAAACAATTTCTATGAAGAAAAAAAAAGGATTAGAATTATTTGAACAAACAACAAGACAGTGAATTTTTATTCAGTAAGAAAAGAAATAATGCATGATAAATTTTTTTACAAAGATTTTTCACCTTTAATCACAACTTATATTGCTTCAAAAGCGATTCTACTTCTGATGAAGAATGTAATGAGTTCTTAAGACCAAGTAATTTTTTCAAATCTGAAAAATAATATATAAATAATGAATTGAAACAATCATATCTGAATGAAAAAAAAAATTACTGGAATAGTAAGTTTTAAAGAGCAGAGGAGAAAATAGAAAATAAAATTACTTCTTACTGTAGTAGCTTTCTAAATAATTCAATTTTAAAAAACTTCTTCTTAAATCTATCTTCAAAAGTTTGCTGAATGCAAACTTTATAATACTAATACATAATTTTTAGGTAAAGTAGATATTAGCTTTAGATTAAATCAATATAGATGAACATCAGGTTTATGTTTTTCATTTACACACATTTTACATTAGTACACTGTCATAGCAAAAGTCACCAAATAAAATGATTAGTGAAATTAGATAAAACATTTAGTAACATTCTCTAAAATAATAAATATTAAAAAAAATATTTTTCTGGCTGATATGTTTTTAAAAAATAAATGCTTGGAAAAAAAAAATTCTGCCGTTAAACAATTAAATTAAACTTAAAATTATAAATGCTTTAAACATAGCAAAGAAGCATCCATCTTTAATTTAGCTATTAATCAAAAGTCTATCAGTTAAATGTAAATTTCTGCTTCATCACCAAATCTTAAGAATCACTTGTAAGGCAGCCATTGTATTTAACAGAGCTAGAAAATCATATTGCCTGGCATGTCTAATGTATATAAGCATATAACCAAAAATACTGATTAAGCTTTCCTTAAAATTTTGATGAATACATCAAATAGCTGAGATATGTAGGATAAACGATATCAAAGTAATAGAGAAGCAAAGAAAAATTATATTATTTGATAAGATCTAATCATCAGAAATGTTTAATGCATTAGAATTTCATTAGATAAATGAAAATTTAAAAACAGTTATTATTCTATTTTATTTCCCATCATGCATATTTTTAATAAAAAAAAGTTTATGTGTAAAAAATTTCAAATATTACAGTTGATAATGCATTGTAAAGCTAACACAAAAGAGATTTAAACAAAGGTTTCTTAACACATAGCAACTGCTTAAATTTTTTAATGATATTTGGCTGAGCAAGTGATTTTTTTGATAAAATACTTTTAATGCTTGTCACCTTTTACTATTTGTGTTTTACCTTGAAGATTTGTCGAAAATAAAAAAAAAAGAACATAAATATGCTCAGTATATTTTTAATTCGCTCAGTATATAAATAAAATTTGTATTTATATTTGTATTTGCATTTATATTATATTTGTATTTATATTTCTAGCATTTATATTTTAAATAAAAGTGTCAAAGTAGTGATCATGTTGTTAATGTCATCTTTCTTAAATAGATATTCATATTTTTTTCATTAACATGCTTTCAAATAAGATATTTGGGCATTTAAAAGTTTATTAGAACATCCATTTGGTGGACTTACATGCCCAGCAAGACATGCAAAAATTGTGAGATTTTGAGATTAATTATGCAAAAACTTCACATTTTCCCCATTAACTTAGCATTACTGGAGGAAATTTAAATTAGAGGGAGGTGAGTTTTCTTAAGCTGAATTTATTAATTAATAAAATTTAGAGTTTACCTTTTTTGTCTTGACTCGATAAGAACATAACAAGTGTTTGAAATCTGCCAACTTGAGTAAGGTATTTCAAGTAAACAAATACATCATCTTGATTGCTACAAAAGAAATAAATTACACTTCACTGAAATATATATTGTGTCTTAAATTTTTTTAATACAAGTACATTATTGAAAAACCAATTTAGACAGTTATTATAAACATCAAATTTTTAGAGTAATATATATATATATATATGTTAATCAGATTTTAATCACAATCATAGGAAACAAAGTAGAAAATTAATTTTACATACAAAGTATGTTAGGTGAATACATTTTTTCAAAAAGTTCAAATAACATAGATTGTTTACAAACAAATTTCAGTTGCAATTCATTCTTTCTCTAAAATATGGAGAGTGCACACAAAAATAAACAGACCACCCTGAATAACTTTTGATCCAATGATCAAATCTTCATGTTCTAAAACTCAATCTTAATTATTCGCAAGGGTGACCTCAAATATGCTAATTAATTAGTACAAATGATATTTTAAGTTAAGAAATTAGACACAAAATGTGTTTTCTCTGAAAAAAAATACATTTCTGTTGTTTATAGATTCAGATTTTGGCCTCCAAAATAAAAAGGAGAAATACAATTTGGAAAATATGGTCCCAATAATTTAGTCAGGAGAGCAGTACAAAGTTAGGACCCCTTAATATTAATTTCCCTTTTTACATATTTCACCATATATGGAGAAATTTTTAAGTGAATTGAAAAGAATGCGCTCATCCAAAGATAATTCCATGCAATATGTAACAAATAGTATCTATTTACTATTTTTTAATATTTCATTCAATAAGTTAACAAAAATTTTGAATTGTAAGGTATAAAATTTGTTACATAATTTTAAAGAGCGCAATTTTAAATGGAAAAATACAAAATATGAGCAAAATCAGTTAAATTGTTACTAAGTAATCAAATTTTGAAGAAGTGATATTTTTAAAATTCAATTTTTGAGAAACTATTCGATTGATTTTCAGGGATGAGAGTAGTCAGAAAGTAAAAAAGCGGAAATCCAAGAATATATATATACACACACACAAAAATTTGACAAAAAAAGGGCGATTTTTAAACTTGTAAACCATGTGATTATAAATCATGATGATTAATTTTAAAATTGTATGAATATGAATCACATGCATGATTTCAAATTAAGAGAATATGAATCCCGATATGAGGTTTTAAAATAACGTGAATATGAAACTCTATATCAAATTTAAAAAATGTGAAAATACAAATCATGATGCGTAATTTTTAGATCACGTAAGTACGAATCTCAATGCATAATTTTTAAATCGCGCGAATACGAAGCTCAATGTCTAATTTTTAAAGCACGTATAAATACGAAAAGCAATGTTTGATATTACAACCGCAAAAACGAATCACAACATTAAATTTCAAGCTAGCGCTAATACAAATTGCTAGATAGGGTTTTAAAAGCGCGTAAATACAAATCACGATATCGGATTTTTAAATCTCGTAAATAAGAATCGCGATGTACGATATTTAAATCGCTTAAATAAGAATCGCAACGTTCAACTTTTAAATCAGGTAAATATGAAAATCGATGTTTGATAATAAAATTTCGTGAATAAGAATTGAGATATTTGCAGAGTTTGGACTTGGGATTTCTAAAAGGCTTGTTTGTATTGTTTTTGTTTAGACATAATAAATAAAAATTTACAAGATTAACTGAATGAGCAAATAAATATTTTCACAGCAATTCAACCTCCATTTTTCCCCCCATTTGCTTTCACGCCAGAAAACAAGATGTGGCGACGTCTGAATTAGGAAAATACGAGCTATCCGGCAGACGGATTAAAATACGGAAATTCTTATTTTCTGTGCGTAAAAGCGGAGAAAATAGCTAAAATAAGTAAAAATATGGAAGGGTTAGCAGCTAGGACGTAGTTTGAATTTTCAGTTTATTTCTGAAAATCGTAAATAAATATGATTATTTTATTTCAACGACTGAATTTTAAAAAAAAAGCGGGATATTTATAAAAAGCTGTATAAAGGTCAACCAGTTTTATCCCAAGGAAATGATTTTTAGAGAAACTTCAGAGGGAGGCATGAGGACTTATTTTCACTCTGCGGAAAATTAAATTCCTCATAAGATATTGTAACTTGTGTAAAAAAAAAATTTCCGCAGAAATTAGTGGGAATAATGGAAAAATCTGAAAAAAAGCGGAAATTCTCGAATCCGAGGAAAAATCACATCCCTGGATTTTGCCCAAATTTTGTATTTTGTCATGTACATTCACTAGAATGATATTAAAAATTTTATACCTTAAAATTCAAATTTTTTGCGACTATTATAAAATAAAATAACAAAAATAGTAAACTCTTACTAAAAGTTATTCTTGCCTGGAATTATCTTTAGCTAAACAAATTTTACAAATGTGTGCAAGAACATTTCAATTAGCTTAAAAATTTCTTGCGATAAGGCGATATACGTAAAAAGTAAAATTAACATTAAGGGGTTCAAAAATTTAGATTGCTCTCATAGGACCTTATTTCCTAGATTAACAGCTACACCCTATATTTTAGAGGCCAGAAATCTGAATCTGCCCAAAAAAGGTACGTTTATGAAGAGAAGGCATGTTTTTGTGTCTGATTTTGAAAAAAATCCTCGGCACTAATTAATTATTTGAGGTTACTCCCACGAATCATTAGGATTGAGTCCTAGAAAGTGAAGATCCGATCATTAGATCAAAAGTTATCTAGGGTGGTCCCTTTATTTTCTTGAACACTGTACATTACAATAGTAATTAAATACAATTGCAGACAAATTAACTTGCATTCACACTTACGCAGACTTTCTCTAAAGAAATTATTTTGATTAAAATAAATCATTTTTTAATAAATAATTCACACCTAATTACAAACAAAATCTTGGTTTTATAAAGTTTATTTGTATAATTGAAGATAATCTTATAGCTTACTCAAGATAGGAAGTTCCTAATGTTTGAAGAATGCCACGAAATATTTCTGCCTCCATGTCATGTTTGAAAACAATAGGCAATCTTTCAGGAGGAAATTGCTTTAAAAAATAGTTTTATTAGTTAAAAGCAGTTAGAAAAGTATATATTTTTATAATAAAATTACCAAAGAAAATAAAGTAATAAAAACATATTTCATTTGTTAAGCCATATAATTTGAAACTTCCGGATCGTGGTTAGCGAAAAATCCAGAATTTTTTCAGAGCACAATCATCTCTGATTATCTCAACTTAAGCATAATAAAAACAAATTTTATCACAGAATAATAAAATATATTACATCTAATTTCAGAACTATCTGTTGAGCAGAAAGTTTAACCAGCTTCCAAAACAATTTTATTAAGGGTGCACTCAATTTGTAATAGTTTATGATCAATAAAGGAAGTTTTTATGAAACTGTTGAAAAAGAAAATCAACATCAATTAGCATTATTCCTTCATTCTAATATTTAATTGAAATTTGTAATATTTTTTAATCAAATAATTCTGGTTTCAATAACCTGGAAACTAAAATGCAGTTGATTTACAAGCTAATATTTTGCACAAAATGAAAATTTCAGCCAATTATCCCTCAATTTATCTTTAAGTTCCATGATATTACTTTATTGTTGGTTGGAATCTGACATTTTTAAAATCAGATATTGAAGAAACAATTAAATAACTATGAAACCACATTACTCCACTTCACAAAATTTGTAACTGAATTGTAAATTCCTCACTATAAAAATCGCTAATTAAGATTCTTTTCCATAAAATGACACTCAATTCCCAGAAAATTTAAAAAAATAAATCCTGCGGGTCAAACTATATGCTTGACCCATGCATATATAGGTGGACAGTTTCTAAGTTTATAATTTTTGAGCTATCAAAATTAGTAATTTTTACTAGATTAAAATGAACAAATTGGTTAGAAAATTTAAATCTTCCAACTTTTTAAATAGATTATTTTAAAATCCACACTTGCATTCGTAGAAAATGGGATGTTCTGAATATACACAAAAAAACTAAGGCTTTTAAGATAAAAAGCTAAATATCATGATAAATAAATCTTATCAGGAATGTCTGGACAACTATGAGCCTTGTTATAAGTAACTGGTATTATAATTTATCTTTTTTTTGGTCTTTCATTTTTATTTTTGCAATCCTGCATTACTAATTAAGAAAATGATGCATTTGGATGAAACAATCATGTAGAAAAAGTATCAGAGATTATTTTTCAAACATTCAGCAAGACACTAACATTATCTCGCGATTTCTTGCGTTAAAGTTCAGGTTCCTCATTACTGCTAGCTTAGATTGTTCCAAAACAAGTTAAGTCAGTTTTAGAAATTAAAGAGAAATAAATCTCGCTTTGTTTGAATATTTAATGGATCATTTTTATTAAAAACACTCATACAATAGATTATTACCAAGCAGATAAAATTTCTTTTTGTATTGGTAACAAAGATCTGTAATATCAAGCAAGGGATGATAAACAAGAAAAAAAAGTGACATCTAATATGTCTTTCAAATTTAAGCATATTTCAAATTAATTATCGAGTTATTTCTGGAGTGACAATTAAAAGATTAAACAAACTAAACATTAAGTTTGGCAGACATGAAAGGTTAAACTAGAATAGACTGTATTTTTGTTTTAACTATGTTTATTTATTTACACAAGCAACATAATTTAGTGCTGTATTTTAGCTTTAAAGATGCTTAAAAATTAACACAGGAGCTGCGTATTGTTAGCAAAAATCAGCCAGAAATTACTGAGAATTGATTCAACCTAACTTTTATTACTATGTTTCTCTATTTTATTTTCTCTTCTCATATCTTTAATTTTTATACGCATAATGAGTTTGTGTTAGAAAACTGCTGTGTCATCAAACACTGCAATTTATAATAATGTATATAGGAAAATTCTATGAAATTCTTGTTCAAAATGTCATTTTGCAGTAGCTTTAAAATGTAAGAATATCAAATTGAAATGTCAATGATACGTTTAAAATTCAAATATTTCACAGGATGCATAAATCGGATATTTTTAAAACTTAATTTCAAAAACAGTATCAAAATACAGACAAAGCTAGATAAAAATACAGTATTATCTAATGAACAAAGCAATCTGCCATTGCAAAACAATTTGAGAGGATTTGCAAAAACAGCTAGGGGGGGNGGGGGGGGGGGGTGGCAAGCACAGGTGGTGATCCTAGTAGAATATATAGATGATTGGTAAAATTTTTTGCAGCATTTTAAAAACCAGAGATTTATAGCCTATGGTCTGCAGGTCAGAAATTTTGCACAAGGCATTATGACTTATTCCTATAACTGTTATAATAAAAAAAGGAATAGAATAAATTGTTTTTATACTGTAATCTGTAACAGTAAATTGGTGATCTAGTCTTTATCAAGTTCTAATAATTTTACATTAAAAGTTTTATTTATGGCATCAGGTTTATCAAGAAAAGGCATTTTTTATGCATTAGTACAAATAAAGGATAGAAAATTTCCTACATCAAAAGACATGTAAATAAAAAAATATATATATCCAATTTCAAAATTTTAATCGTAACAAGCAAATTAATTCATTTAATACTGTATTAGCAACTGAAGGAACACACTTTTTTTTGATAAACAATATTAAAATAAATGGAAACTTTCAGGATGAAGGAAAATAATAAATTTATCTGAATTTTTCTTTTCTTTTTGAACTAATTTAATTTTGATTTACTTACATGAAATATTTTCATTTATTTTTATTATCTACTTCTGAAAAAAAATTAATTATACAGCTATAATTAATTTCATTAAAATAGAATCTAAAGGCATGCTATGCTGCCTTTTTACAATTACTGCTTTATTTTAATCTGGGCCCTTAACCTACAATTTTTTAATTTTTATCACCCACTATCCAAAAATAGTTATACACCCCTGGTAAAAATCAAATGAGAAAAATAAAGAATTGAAAACAACTCTTATTTCTTACTTTTAAATACTGATACTTTAAATCTGGATATTTGGACAGTTTTCTCCAATCGGTTAAAAATTGATAGGCAGCATTGGGTACAGGAGGCAATGTTTGTTCTAATTTCTTCACAATACTTTCTATTTCCCTTAGGTCTTTAACATCTGGCGAATCCTTCAAGGATTTTTGTCTGGTAGGTAGTTGACAAGGACTAGATTGAGTAGTTTTTTCTTCTGGAACTATATAGGAATGGGAAACAGATTGTTTCGAATCCATAACATTTAAGAGACTTTCTAATCGACTGGATGGAGTTTGGATTTCAGTATTTTCTTTAATTTTGATATTTTCTATATCAAGGTTTAATTTTTCTGTGGAACTTTCTTTTGCATCAGAGTTTTCCATTTCCTAAAATACATAATTTTTAATGCAAAATTTAAAAAGTACACAATACATTTATAAAACTTATTTCTTATAATTACTAGAGCATTTACAATTTCAAATATTCTCTAAAATATTTTTGTTTCTGCCAAAACAAATAATGAATAGCAAAACTTAAAAACAAATGTTTAGAATATATTATAAAACTAAAATAAACCAAATTTTCCTTAGTTCCATTAAAACAAAATTTTCTCATAAAAATTAAAATTATTTATAGCGAATATAAATAACTTCTCATTATTCAATATTTGTATTTTTTTCAAAAAAATTTTATGAATACAAAATTAAAAATCTGTGGAATATTTATAATCCTTTTCTAGTCCAGTTATTAATTTTAAATCAAAAAACAATTTATTAATAATAACCTCTATTAACTTTAAAATAAAATGCAAAACTATTTTTCTTTTCATTATTATTCATTCACTGACAACTATTAAAGTGTAAAACATGCTAGAATTTAACTTATAGATGAAACTCTAATTTTTATAGTTTATAATGCTCTGTCTTAGCTTACAGAATCCATTCTCCTACAACACATATTGGTTCGTTATATCATATCAATGAATTATATTTATTTTTGCTTTATTAGTAACAAAAATTAATTACTAATAACCCAACTCTGGAACCTGCTGCCAGGTGACACAGTGAAACACCATATAATGGTCTAAACCAGGGGTTTCCAACTTATATGAGGCCGGGGGCCACAATTAAAAACACAAATCAAATGGAGGGCCGCAACTTTATCAAATTTTTTTATAGGACTCTTTTATGTTTGAAGAAACATTGAATATTACTGTCAGAGTTTTACCAAGTTGTACAAAACAAAAGTATTGAATTACAAATTAAAATAAGAAGTAGATTTTTAAAAATATTTAATTGTTATTAATAATAATTTTAAAGACATAAATAAATAATAAAAATTCGGGCTACAATAACTTTAATGTGCACCTATGTATTAAACAATTAATGTGCAACAGATATCTAATTGTTAAGGTATTAAAACTTACATAGTAGCACACAAAAGATTCAATGAGAAAATTGAGGTTTGTCTGCTGCAACCACCAGAGAATCGATATTTACATTTTAAATTTACAAATGTGTGTGTAAATATTTTAGCCTAAAATGAGTGGTTTCAAAAAGTTAAATCGGAGAATTTCTTCTAGAAAATTTTTGATACGCACATGCTAAATTATATTCACAAAATATAAAAAAAAAATGAAATAAAAAAGAGCAACATACACGATTATTTTTGTATTTGAATAAATATTTTCTTGGATGCAAACCTGAAAAATAAATTTCTTTGCACCGTTGGTATGTAAAATTTCACAGAAACGAAGAAATTAGGTTTTTATTAACGAGAAAAGTATTTTAAACCCATATAGAATTTTTACGAAAATTGTCCGCAAAAAAATGACAACTAATATATTTTAGTTCGCGGGCCACAAAAAAAAAGCCCCCGGGCCGCCAGTTGGAAACCCCTGGTCTAAACCAAATACTACAATGATAAAAACTAAATGCTAAAATTTCTGACTCAAATAATTTTATACATTTAATTAACATATTTTTTCTGAAATTTAGGAAACAAAAAATTTATTTAGAAACAATTACAGTTGAAATTTCATATAGTTGAGGTTGCTACATTGTGAGTGAACAGAGATAACAAAACTACTTAAATCCAATAAATGCTTAACTTAATTTGACAAAATCATGCTAAACTTTAAAAAGAATCAGGAAACTGACAAAATAATTGATAATAATGTAACACATTACGTTTAACAAGTAGCCAGAAAATATTTTCTTTAAATAATAAATATACAAAAGAGCTTTAAATTTTAAGCTAAGTTCAGAAAAAAAGTGAATACTACACATTTTAACTTGAAAATAAACCACATAAGAACACAAACATTAATAAAGAGTAAGTTTTGTTACAAGTTCAGTAATATATAAACACTATATAAATCATATAGTGACAAACTATGAGTGATTTTCAATATAGAAAAGTTTTTTATTTCAATAGAAATCGATGATAAATGTTACTAATAATATTTGACCTTTTAAGTATCAATTTGAGTGGGGGCTAAGTACAGAGAGTCAAAGGATGGAAAAAATATCAGATGGAATTCTATATGAAACTCTTAAGTGCTCTTTACACAAAATAGATTTTGTAAGGTCACTTTCAAAACTCATTACAATAATGCTAAAGACGAATTATTAATGACTGTGGCTCAGAGCTTGGTACATCAAGAATTGAATTTTTGATTTTGAAAAATAATTATTGGCAAAAAATGGCAAGTTTGAATCACAATGGGTGATGAACATTCATTATAATTTATCTATGAAAGAGTTAAAAACAGACATGTAATGGGAAATAGGTGAGGTTTTATTCAAACTAAATACGAAAANTTATGGCATCAGGTTTATCAAGAAAAGGCATTTTTTATGCATTAGTACAAATAAAGGATAGAAAATTTCCTACATCAAAAGACATGTAAATAAAAAAATATATATATCCAATTTCAAAATTTTAATCGTAACAAGCAAATTAATTCATTTAATACTGTATTAGCAACTGAAGGAACACACTTTTTTTTGATAAACAATATTAAAATAAATGGAAACTTTCAGGATGAAGGAAAATAATAAATTTATCTGAATTTTTCTTTTCTTTTTGAACTAATTTAATTTTGATTTACTTACATGAAATATTTTCATTTATTTTTATTATCTACTTCTGAAAAAAAATTAATTATACAGCTATAATTAATTTCATTAAAATAGAATCTAAAGGCATGCTATGCTGCCTTTTTACAATTACTGCTTTATTTTAATCTGGGCCCTTAACCTACAATTTTTTAATTTTTATCACCCACTATCCAAAAATAGTTATACACCCCTGGTAAAAATCAAATGAGAAAAATAAAGAATTGAAAACAACTCTTATTTCTTACTTTTAAATACTGATACTTTAAATCTGGATATTTGGACAGTTTTCTCCAATCGGTTAAAAATTGATAGGCAGCATTGGGTACAGGAGGCAATGTTTGTTCTAATTTCTTCACAATACTTTCTATTTCCCTTAGGTCTTTAACATCTGGCGAATCCTTCAAGGATTTTTGTCTGGTAGGTAGTTGACAAGGACTAGATTGAGTAGTTTTTTCTTCTGGAACTATATAGGAATGGGAAACAGATTGTTTCGAATCCATAACATTTAAGAGACTTTCTAATCGACTGGATGGAGTTTGGATTTCAGTATTTTCTTTAATTTTGATATTTTCTATATCAAGGTTTAATTTTTCTGTGGAACTTTCTTTTACATCAGAGTTTTCCATTTCCTAAAATACATAATTTTTAATGCAAAATTTAAAAAGGACACAATACATTTATAAAACTTATTTCTTATAATTACTAGAGCATTTACTATTTCGAACATTCTCTAAAATATTTTTGTTTTTGCCAAAACAAATAATGAATAGCAAAATTTTAAAACAAATGTTGAGAATATATTATAAAACTAAAATAAACCAAATTTTCCTTAGTTCCATTAAAACAAATCTTTCTCATAAAAATTAAAATAATTTATAGCGAATATAAATAACTTCTCATTATTCAATATTTATATTTTTTTCAAAAAAATTGTATGAATACAAAATTAAAAATCTGTGGAATATTTATAATCCTTTTCCAGTCCAGTTATTAATTTTAAATCAAAAAACAATTTATTAATAATAACCTCTATTAACTTTAAAATAAAATGCAAAACTATTTTTCTTTTCATTATTATTCATTCATTGACAACTATTAAAGTGCAAAACATACTAGAATTCAACTTATACACGAAACTCTAATTTTTATAGTTTATAATGCTCTGTCTTGGCTTACGGAATTCATTCTCCTTCAACACATATTGGTTTGCTACATCATATCAATGAGTTATATTTATTTTTGCTTTATTAGTAGCAAAAATTAATTACTAATAACCCAACTCTGGAACCTGCTGCCAGGTAACACAGTAAAACACCATATAATGGTCTAAACCAAATACTACTATGATAAAAACTGATTGCTAAAATTTTTGACTCAAATAATTTTATACATTTAATTAACATGTTTTTTTCTGAAATTTAGGACACAAAAAATTTATTTAGAAACAATTACAGTTGAAATACCATATAGTTGAGATTGCTACATTGTGAGTGAACAGAAATAACAAAACTACTTAAATCCTATAAATGCTTAACTTAATTTGACAAAATCATGCTAAATTTTAAAAAGAATCAGGAAACTGAGAAAATAATTGATAATAATGTAACATATTATGTTTAACAAGTAGCCAGAAAACCTTTAAATAATAAATGTACAAAAGAGAGCTTTAAATTTTAAGCTAAGTCCAGAAAAATACTACACATTTTAACTTGAAAATAAACCACATTAGAACACAAACATTAATAAAGAGTAAGTTTTGTTACAAGTTCAGTAATATATAAACGCTATATAAATCATATAGTGACAAACTATGAGTGATTTTCAATATAGAAAAGTTTTTTATTTCAATAGAAATCGATGATAAATGTTACTAATAATATTTGACCTTTTAAGTATCAATTTGAGTGGGGGCTAAGTACAGAGAGTCAAAGGATGGAAAAAATATCAGATGGAATTCTAAATGAAACTCTTAAGTGCTCTTTACATAAAATGGATTTTGTAAGGTCACTTTCAAAACTCATTACAATAATGCTAAAGACGAATTATTAATGACTGTGGCTCAGAGTTTGGTACATCAAGAATTGAATTTTTGATTTTGAAAAATAATTATTGGCAAAAAATGGCAAGTTTGAATCACAATGGGTGATGAACATTCATTATAATTTATCTATGAAAGAGTTAAAAACAGACATGTAATGGGAAATAGGTGAGGTTTTATTCAAACTAAATACGAAAACGTGATACTTATCAATTAAAAATAGATTATCTGTCAAGTAAAAATTAATTTAATGAATAAATAAATCAGAATATTATTTTAATACAATAAGAATCAATAAAGCAATAGAAAGCATTATAAAAAAATTAAATTTTTGTATTATTTTATTACAGCACTTGGGACATGCTGAAATTTAATTTTGAGCAGAAATAAGTAAATAAAAGTTTTGCTTAAATAGAATTATTTTCATTACTTACACAACATAGATACTTTTATGAGAAATACTGTCTAGTCACTATACCTACATTAACTGACAAATTATAGAAGAAAAAAAAATTTTAACTAAAAAAATTAAAAATTGATCAATTTATTCATTTATTTATTTTACATTCTTTTTACATGCAGGAAATGTAATGTGCCATATTCACTTTTGCTGTCACACTGAAATAAAATGTTTGTTGAAATTAATAGAAAAGCTTATTTTCTTAATAAATTTATTTGCTGAAAAATAGAGAATAAAAAAAACTAAAGAATGAAAATAACAATATTGAAAATAGTGTTTGGCAAAAGTAAAATAAAGAGTGATTAAAAAACGTTCGCTATCAAACTGATTGTCAATAGAAGCATTTCATTTTGAAAGTAAAAAGTTATATTAAAGTTTGGTTACCATATTTAATGAATAATTTACTTAAGACAATTTAATCGGTGCTAAAATAACTTCTATAGAAAACGGATTTCATTTACTGGTCTCGTAAATGGAAGGGCATTAGTAATGGTAGCATCTTAAAATGACTAAATGAAAATAGTCTGTGTAATAAAAATTAAAATTATAATAAAGAAATAGTTTAACTTGATTTAGAACTAATAATATGAAATTTATTCAAAAGTATGTAAATAAATAATTTTTACACTTAACATCTTTTTCTTAAAAAATTATTTATTCACACTGATCCCTTTTAAGTCATTAGTTACAAAAAAGTTAGTGACAAAGTGAGATGAGAATAGCTGCAAGGTGCCTAAAACTTTAAATCTAATTTCAGTCTTTTAATATCATTCTGATGCTATTCAAAAATAAGTTTAAAGTAGGAGTTTATATCATTTTAGACGTAAGTAAGATACAGGTATCTAGTCTTGAATGAAAAAAAAAACTACAGTACAGAACCCGTTATCTGGAAATCAGAAAACTGGAAAACCAAAAAACCAGAACGAAATTCAATACATTTTCCCGCCAGTGTTTTCACTACAGCGCGAGAACGCGAGAATCTCGCATATTTTTGTTCTTTTCTCGCATTAAAAAATTATAAACGCGAGAAGTTCGCGCACTCTATTAATCAATTTCAAAACGCGCGAATTTTGGAAAAAATTTCGTCTTTTGCCATTTTGAATAAAATCCGTTTCACTTTTTTTCCTTGATCTTTCATAATTTTGAACATTGGACCTTGTTATCTAGCTTCCCTATTTACCAGTAATGTTCAGAACCGGTGCGAACAGCAGAACACCACCCCCCTCCCGAACCCCTTTCAGAACACATTACTCTGCAACCACGCGTTCACCGTAGGTAAGGTTTCTTCATGTAAGACATTTACATTTTTGGTGCATGAATCTAAGATGGGCAAATACCTTGTTAAGGCGACATCTTCTACTCCGTAGCGGACAAATGAAAATGAAACAAATGTCGGTAGAAATGGTCAAAACAAAACAAATACGGATATTTTTCAGCCAAATAAATATAGTAGCTGATTAAAAAGTTTATATAGAACATTTTCCATATGATGATACAGCAAAAATATTCAATTAGAAGATGTTAAAAATGTATTATAATTGAAGAAATAATTTTTTTCCAAGTCTATTCGTGTTTTTTTTAATTTTTAGAAATCTCACTTAACTTTTTAAAATCTCACCCTGTTTTTTAAAAAGGTTGAGAAATTCTCTCCCATTTTTTTTCTGTAATGCCCGCCATTTAAAAAAAAAAAAAAAAAAATTTTCCTCATAAGATTTTAGGATTTTTCTTTCTTTTTTGAACATTTCCATCATTTTGGAAATAATCATTAGTGCATTACTTCACCGTTTTTTCTTCTTTTTAAGATAATATCCAAATATTTATTTTTTTTTAGTTGGGTTTAACAATAAAAAAACGGCTTTTTGCAGCGATTAAGAAAACCGGAAAAATCAGTTTTACGGAGCAGCGATGGTCCTGATCGTTCTGGATAATCGGTTCCCTACTGTATTATAGTTTTCTTTCCCATTCTTACTTCATACTAGTGACATTCTGACTTCTTGACAGCTATTTCAAAGTTAATTCTAGAATTTGAAAAGTTTTGTAATGAACAAAAACTCTCTCGTCACACTTATTCACAACATAATGAATATTATACCACAGAAAAATATTATGTGACTGTGGTGCTGTGAAACAATTTCAAATTTCACAGGGGTGACACAACTAGGTAAAGTTGGAAGCCCCTATCTAAAATCAATGAAATAAAATTTTTAGACAGACTGTACACCAATAAATCTAAATAAAATAACGTAAAAAATCAAAAGTATTAAAATAGATAAATGTTCGGCAATAAATATTTGTAACGGAAAAAAAATCTGTTTTAAACTAAACATTCTAAATCTAAAAGAAGTAGATTAACTGTTTGAAATAACCATACATTGAAAAAATATATAACACTTGTTTATAATGCTCTGTCTTGGCTTNTCAACAGTGGGGGAATGAAATTTGAATACAAAAGCCATTCTCTGATGTGCAAAGAAATAACAGTGGGGTGAAAGATCATAACCAGCAGTGACCCTTTTATCAGAAAAGATGAAAAAAATGGTAAAAGATGACAAAAAGGCATTTTACATTATTTGAAAACCAATAAAAAAAATAGAAAATAATGTTGAAATTTGAAAAAAAATCGTTTTACAGAGGTTTACTGCTTCAGAGAATATCGTTATATTGAGAGGAAGATAACATTAATCCATATGCAAGTTTGGCGGGACCACGGAACATTATCGTAATAGAGGGAGTTATTGTTGTATCGGATATCGTAGTAGCGAGAGTTAACTGTATTTTCAAATTAGAATTAGTTTACAAAAAATAAAGAAGCTAAAACCCAATCTCAGTGCTTATGCAAAATAGACCTAGTAAGAGATTTCTTCAAAACAATTAAAACTTGAGAGTTCATGAGGTCTACTGATTAACCTCAATGGACACACTTAAATCTTTGAATGACTAAAGGTGCTGCCACATATATGCTAAGGAAAATCAATAATTACATTTTAGTAAATCTTAAAAGAAACATTGGAGCAAACAGCACAATATAAAATCTAAGAAAGAGTATTAACGGGTAAAGAAAGAGTATTAACGGGTAAAACGTAAATAAATTTATTTGAAATTAAAAAGGTATAAATAATAAATTGTAAACGAATCAAATAACCTGTCTCATTTTTTCCAATTCTGTTTGAGCTGATTTATTCTGCGGTTCTAATTCCAAAATTTTTAAATAGTCTTCTTCTGCCAATAAGAATTTTTTTAAAGCTCTTCGAGCTGTAGCTCTCCTCAAATAAGCCTTGATGTATGTAGGATCAAGAGACAGACACACAGTACAATCATCTTCGGCCGAAGCAAATCTATAAGAACAATGTCATGAAGAGTGAGAAAATACTAATTTAAAGGGGAACACTTATGCAAAATTTTTAAAAAATCATTTTTACATTTTGTATAGATTGAAGGTAAAATATGCATGTTCAAAAAAATTTACATAAAAAATATACTTTAGAATTCAGATAAATAAAAAATATATAAATTAAAGAACTTGTATGGACTTTTGAGGTGTATCAGAAATAATATTTTTTTTTTTTGATGTTATGTTTTAACAAAAAGGAGTTATAAACATTTAGATTATAGATGTTAAGACTGTATATGATGTGTTCCTGAGAAGTGCTTCTATAATATGGCCAGGTTAATCCATGACTTCTTATTCTACAGTATCTAGATTTAAATGACACGATTCAACATACACGAACCCTCCAACATATCAAAAGATGTTTGTTGAGCAATTGTAGAAAAAAGGGAAGAGAACAAAAAGCAATATCTCCCTACCGAAAATTCAACGGGTTTAGCAAAGACCAAAAAGAGCACCACAATAAACTGAAGCAGACGGACTAAAATTTAGCTCAGTAGAAATAAGACAGAATTATTGATCAACATTAAACAAATAGGCTGTTCAAATGAATTTTCAACTCTAAACTTTATAAGGAAATGATATATTAGAATTCTGTAACACCTAAATCTTAAAAATTTTAAATTAAAAGCCAACAAAATAAAATTAGCATAACTAATTTCATTAAACTATATCTTACTCTATACATTTTGCTGCATTAAGGGGGGGAAAAAACGAGGGAAAACCTACCTGGAATATTGCATTTACAATTGATCATTTTTCAAGAGTCTAAATAAATGTATGATTTATATGAACACTTGGATAACTAGATTTCTGTTCTCTTTTTTTTAAACCTAGCTTTTTAAAGTACAGGGGTCAAATTGATTCAAAGAAGAAAGGACTTTTGAGATGAGAAGGGGTATTGAGAGCATTTAATGCATCATTTCAACTTGGAGTGCCTCTTAACCAGATGAAAAAATCAAAAGATGCTATCTGAAATATTTCACATGGGCAGCAGTATTCTTTCTCGTTTCTTCGTAAAGATAAAAACAGGGGAAAGGAGAATAATTGATTCTTTAGTAGAGAAATAGCTTAGCAATACTTTCAGCCACAGAAGAGGCAATAAATTTTATGTGCTGTAAAAAATGCTAAAAAAGGTAAATATCTTCCAAAAATTGAAAATATACTTTTTTTTCAAACTTAGAAAAAGTGGCGTCTGGTTTGAAGAAATTGAAAATATAGTTTCAGGGCATGAATGACTGTCTCCGTCCAATTACAGGAGTGTTCACCTTGTAGAGAGGGCATATAATGGTTTATTTATAGAAGATTCGCAAGAAATTAAAAATATATATATCATGAGAGCCAACTGTTTTGTCTGTGATAAGAGATTTTACTTCTTTTGTAGCAGGAAAAAGTTTTCTTTTTCTTATCTTACCAGCAAAAAGAAAAGGGAAAAATTTAGTACAATTGGGTGGGAGCATGGAATTGAAGGGATAATGCTGCACATGGGTTGTTTAGTAATCTTGTTCCTGAGCAGACTGGTAGTAACAAATTTTAAGCTGGATGGCTTTCAAGTAGCTACCAGATATAGAACCCTGATTCTATGCAATGACAGCTTAGTGCCTTAACCACTGTGCCATCGCATCTCAGAAGACATCGATGTATTTGGCTGTAATTTTTCAAAACTAAATTAAAATTTTGATTTGAAACAAATTTTTTGAGTACTATATCACGTTTCCAGTTGTTTTTCACGTATTATAACAAGACAGAAAGTTTCCAGTTCTTAGAATAATCAGCCTAAATTTCAAAATAAACATTCTAACAGCAAAGAGATTTAAACGTAAATTCAATTTGATAGAAATTTTTTTAACAAGTATGATTGAAAAGAAAACTTTTAATATATTTTATCCAATTAAAAATGATGTACGCACAGCTACACAAATTATCTTCAATTTGGGAAAGCATAAATTGTAGAATACTTACTGTTCTTTTTTTAGAAATGCCATCGCACGATTAGCAGGCAGCAATGCATTTTCTGGATCCAACTCCATACCAATTGTATAACAGTTTATAGCTGAATCGTAACTTCCATTTTTAAAATATTCATTTCCCTATAAATTTCAAAATAATACTGCTAACGTTTTGTGAAACAAATCCAGCTCAGTTCAAAATTATATGATTGAAACATTAGTCAACAATTGTATTTTATTTTTACATTGTTACATTTGATGTTAAATATACAAACTATATTTAAAAATAACTAAAAATGATACAGCTTACAAAATAAATTTTTTTAATAAAACAGAATGTTTAAATATTTGATACCTGAAATGCTTACAAGTCTTGATGGTTATAAATTGATTAATTGAGAACAAACACTAAAATCATTAAAATTTAGTCTTAAAGCATGCCCCATTTCAACCAAATTTTTTTTTTCAAGGAATGATTGAAGTGCTTGCTGAATAAAGACAATCAGATATTATATTGAGATCTTAATTATATCTTTCAGAACTACATAAAAGAGATAAATATATTTAGTAATTTTCCATTTAATTCTCCGTCAATTTTTTATTTAACAGTTCCATCTTTGCTCCAGAGACTATTGGAATATTTTAAAGACTGAGAAAATTTATTTACTGAAGAATGTTTCAGGCTGTATATGGATTTCAATTCATATACATGTTATACATATTAAAAGAATAGAAATAAGAGTTTTTAGTTATGCAATTAAAATCTTGAATATTTTCTGTTACAACAATCATTTTATGTTGGTTTTTGTTTGCCATTTATGAAAGATACAACAGTAACAAATGTATTCTAAGAATAATGTCAGCATCACAAGTAATGAACGTATTATACAGATAAAACCAACTAAAACTGCTGCAAAAATATCAAACATTTTTAAAATGACATTATTTTATCCATCAAAGAAAAGTTTTAATTTTAATAAAAATAGTAGAAAAATGAAATCATCACAATTTAGAATCTCACCTTATCCTTTTTAAGAATCGCTTGCTGCTTTTTTCGTTGTAGATTCAATATTTCTTCAGAATCACTGTCTCCAGAAGAACTTTCTGCTTTTTCATCTTCATCTAATTTTTTTAACTCTGTTTCCTTTAAAAAAAAAAAATTATTTGTGGAATTATACATGTATTTTTTCATTTTAGTCTATACACTTCAAAAAAAAAATATTATTTTTCCTTTTTATATAGTATTAATATTTTATTCATAATTTTAAAAAAAATAGTCAACAGAATAGTCAGCATATATGAAAAAAATTTATATATTTTCACTTTTTACCTAATATAATTAATTGCATCAAATTAGTCTTGAGTTAAAAATTTATTTTTCTTTAATATATGTAATTCAGAGTTTAAAAAAATGAGCCTGTATTTATCTAATTTGTTTAAAAGTCTATAATTTACAATTTTTCATTTCAAAATATGTTTTCAGGGAAACTCTTAACTTGATATTTTCCCACTTTAAATAAAGATATATTTCTTTAACATCATTTATAATACCAGAACATTAATTTACGTTATACTCAAGCGATTTTTTTAAATTATCAATATTTCCAATCTTAGACAAAAATTAAACTGAGCAGTAAAACCTAAAGAAGGCCAAATTATACAATAACACTATAATAAATAGATTTTAATGTAAATATCAGTACCACATCAAACTTTTCCCATGCTTTGTAGTTAAAACTTTTTATTCTCGCAGAATCATCAGATTTCTTTTTATCTTTTTTGTGTTTGCTTTTCCTTTTAGATCTTGCTAAAGTATTTCTTACTGGAGGAATGTTCTAAAAACATAAAAAAAGTCATCATCAAAGATTTATTAATAAAATTGAAAAATAAGTTTTTTAATGAAAAAAAATTTACATTAGATTCTCCTAAATAGAATTTGCATCTCTAAAAGTATACAAGATAGTAACATAGAGTATGAAATATTAATAATTTACTATAACCAAAGAGAGAATGAAAACAAAGTTTCATTTATCTCATGTTAACATTGTTATCATGGAGAATAGAATCGTACATATTTTCTACTGTATAAGTCAACATATCTTTACACATAACAAATAAAAACAAAAAGTATAGAAAAAAAAAACAATTTGAAAAAAAATATGAAGATTATTTTCATGCACGGTAAAATTTTTCAGCTGATAAACTAAAATCCCATGTGTGAAATATACCAATAAATGTACTGGCGTATTTACTGCATGGGATTAGTATTGATGAATTCNATTTTATAGGATATATTTTAACTAAAACATACCCGAAAAGATTTTGGTGTTGTAACCTATACCAAAATAAACATTTACACAAATAAAATGCTACAAATTAAAAAAATAATAATAAATTTTAAAAAAAGTAAAATTTTAAAAAAAATAATAATTAAAAAAAAACAGAAGATAATATATGTGGATGTAGCTGGAAGTTACTGCCAGGCAAAACTAAAAAAACAAAATTTATAGCAAATACATGGGCGGTGGGAGTTTTGATGAAAGCGCAAGCATGGAGTGATATGGGAATTCAGAACCTAATGTAAATAAATTGCAAACAAGAAAACAACGTGAATTTTCCCACTTATATTTCATACTTTTAAAACCATTTAGAACAATAGTTTACTTTGCTGAAATAGTATAATGTAAGTGATACAAAATTATTGTAACTAGAATTTAGTTTTTAATTAATGAATTATTAAAATGTCAGCAATGGTACACACTAAGATAAATCAATCAATATTTCACTTTCAAAACGCTTCACAAAATTATTCCTAGAGAAAGAATATTGTTTTGAAGAAAGTTGAAGCAAAAAATTTTTAGAACATTGTTTATTAGACTTTGTTAAGATAAACGAGAAAAAATATTTGATATGATTTAAGAGAACAGGTTAGGATAGAATGGTACGTTAATCATCTTACTGAATATTAAAAATAAATATCTATTAAATCATTTCTGAATAACACCAGGTTATGGAGTTAACTTAATGATAAAACAGAAATTTTCATCATAATCTATAACTTTAACTAATGACGAAACAATGCAATGCCCAGTTCTTGATGTGGATATCATCTTCAGATACCATGGCTTGGGTATGAGGATCTACCTATACTTTCTTAAATAGTGTCTACCTATTCTGAATTAACTTCATTGAAAATATTTTAATATTGATACTTGTTATTCGATATGAGTTGTAAAAATTATATTCTTCAATTTGGTCTGTTTTCTACATTTGTTTTTTTTTTTTTTTTTAATTTTTAACATGTTACAGCCGAATTAATGCCAAAAATTAGGACAACTTTTTTTTGGCACAAGTCACAAAAATCTTTCCTTGGTAAGCCCCCAATATTGACTTCATCATTACAGATGAATCTCAGACTTGTGCCAATAGCAAACTTTACTTGAGATATTACCAGATTGTAATCTGCTAGTGCCAATTATAATCCCTAAAGGGATTTTAAACTCGAAAATAGTTTTAAAAATTAGTAAAACATGTAGAGGGGGTCAACTCGAACGGTCCGATTTGTAAGAAACTACAAATCGAACCGTTCGAGTTGGCCCCTACAAATCGAACCGTTCGAGTTGGCCCCCTTCTATGATTTTTTTTAAAAGTTCCCTACGTAAAACAGCATGGAGGTTGCCAAAACTTAACTATTATTTTGGTGTAAATACGGATTCCTATACTATGTACTACAAACATGTTATCTTCTAAATTATTTTAGAATAGAACGTAAGAAAAAGAACATTTGAGAAGCTTAGCTCCACTTAGCTAAATTATGTTCATTACTTTATAAAAAAAACAGTAATATATTTCAGTATACTCAAATATGATTAAAAGTAGTTGAAAATATTTTTACATCTTCTTCAGTTATNAAAAAAAGATAAGACAGAAAGACTAGAAAAAAGATTGCAAGACAGAAAAATATTGCTCGCTAAAACCGGGTCTTGCTCGTTAAAAGCGACTTCTGTTCCATAGATTTAACATTGATCCAACCAAATATTCTCGTTTCCCTCGGTAAATCAGAGTTCTCGTTATAAACGAGTTCGACTGTACTTGTTATACGATATGAGTTGTAAAAGTTATATTCTTCAATTTGGTCTGTTTTCAACATTTGTTTTTTTTCTTCATTTTTAACATGTTACAGCCGAATTAATGCCAAAAATTAGGACAACTTTTTTTGGCACAAATCACAAAAATCCTTCCTTGGTAAGCCCCCAATATTGATTTCATCATTACTCATCTCAGACTTGTACCAATCTCAGACTTGTACCAATAGCAAACTTTGAGATATATCCAGATTGTTATCTGCTAGTGCCAATTATAATCCTTAAAGGGATTTTAAACTCGAAAATATTTTTAAAAATGAGTAAAACATGTAGAGGGAGCCAACTCCGATTTGTAGGAAACTACAAATCGAACCGTTCGAGTTGGCCCCCTTCTATGATTTTTTTAAAAAGTTCCCTACGTAAAACAGCATGGAGGTTGCCAAAACTTAACTATTATTTTGGTGTAAATACGGATTCCTATACTATGTACTACAAACATGTTATCTTCTAAATTATTTTAGAATAGAACGTAAGAAAAAGAACATTTAAGAAGCTTAGCTCCACTTAGCTAAATTATGTTCATTACTTTATAAAAAAAAAAAACAGTAATATATTTCAGTATACTCAAATATGATTAAAAGTAGTTCAAAATATTTTTACATCTTCTTCAGTTATCTTGAGTAGTTTCAATTCTTCCTCTTTTTTTCTCATTGCCTTTTCCCAACTTTCTAAATCTTTCAAATAATTTTGAAGTTCCTCAGAGTTTTCTCGAACTTGTTGTTGAATTTTAAATGAATTTTCGACACTCATTATATCTTAAGATGAAAATTTCGCACGTACAAAGAAATTCAAGAAACAACTGAAAACTGTAGTTGTTTTTGTTTGTTTAAAAACAAAAGCAATGCAATGTAAAGACAGTTAAGGTTACACTGTGAAAAATGATTGGTAAAAATATTACATGCTCAGTTATTAGTTATGTCATCTAAATGAACGCAAGTTGGCAGTGATTTACGGACCCTTGATGAAGCAAAATAGGTGGACTTCTACCTCCTCACCATAAAGAATAAAAATAAATAAATTACGTGTTTCCATTCGCCGTGTTCATTATAAATTGTCGCTTCTGCAAAATCTTTTTTTTTTTTTAAAAAGTTTATAAGTGAGTACAATTTCTTAGTTTCTAAAATTTTGCTAATTTGAATGCATGCGGCTGATTTTTTTTAATACTGTTTATTTTGTATATCAACTGTAATAGTTTACCCTGTTTAAAAATAAAGCAATACATTTTTATGTGCACAATCGTAATAATAAAAATAAACGTGTTAAATACTCTCCCATCCAGCAGATGTTCCCATATAGATGCTTGCTTATGCTGCCAAAATTGCCATGTGAAAGTCAAACTACGTGGTTATTGTGCTTGAAATAAATGTATATAAATAATATCTATGCATAGTAGCTTCTTTCGAGTAAGCTCTATTGTGGTATTTTTTCCCCTCTCCAGTTTTGGCTTTCATGTAATGGGTTATCTCTAAAACTTGTAAAATTAAGCAATCTCATATTTTATCCTTTAAAAGAAAAACTTATGTTGTTTCCATGTGTTGAGTTATGTTTTTAATCCTTAAATTGATTTTTTAATAAGCTAAAGAGGTTGAAACTTAATATTGGCAATCAAAATGCACTATACCAAAACTCTCTACATTCTCTCAATTATGATACGTTAATTTCTCTCTTTATTTTCAAATAGATTAAGCCCTTTTAAGTTAGGAAACTAAATGAAACTTAAAACTACATCGAACATAGTTCTAAAAGAAAGCAACGAGTAAATTTAAAAAATATATTTGTGACAATTAAGTACGAAAAATATTAAGAAAAGAGAATATATCATAGTACATTCCTATACAACTGAGGAGAGGGAAAGGGAGAAGATCAAGACATGGAACTTGTCTTCTCACATGGCGCATTCAATTGTGGGGTCGCAATTCATATGTTTGACTTCTCTTAAGTACCTATCATTCACATATATATGCAGACCAAAAGAACATATTATTGTAGATACATCACATATGTTTGTAGACCTTAAGATTATGACTGTGCTACCCCAAACCCTATCACACATCAATAGGTATGTATCTGTAAATGAACAACCAATCAGACAAAGAAATAATAATACACAGAATAAAATTAATAAATAGAAATGTTCACTTGCAGTTTTTCAAATCAAATAAAGACAAAAATTAAGGGAAAGGAGATATCATTAAGAATAATTATTTTTGTATTTGAATCAAATTTGGCACGAATTGTGATTTCTTTAAATATTACAAACTAAGCAGTGAATAATTGTTATTTTTGTTCAAGCTTAACATCCTAAAATTTTAAAGATAAATTTTAATTTGTCAGCCGGATATCCAATGAGGTGTAAATTAGTTTAAATCCGAATGCATGAAAGAAAAAAAATTCTTGCTAGTTTCTCTGGCAATCAAGTCTTTCCTCAGTATTGGTATACAGTAACTATATATTCAATTTTTAAAAACACTTGTATTCAAATAAACATGAAACTAAATGGTTGTAATTGTAGTTTGTTTATTGTGAGCAAATAATTTTAAATACAATGGATAATAATTGTTTAAGAGTTAAACAACTCTCTTACCTACTTTTAATCTATAATTTTATTTACTGATTGTCTTTCCCAAGATGCCCCCATTGGGGTGGAGTTAAATTAAAACTTATTGTCTAATTTAATTTACAGTAATTTAAATAATTCATCCTTCCATTATTTCTTTAAAAGCTTCTTTTAAAAGAATCCCCTCCAAAAAAAAATATATTTCAGGAAAATATTTTAGACTTATTTTGTTTAAATTATGATAATACTGATTTGATACATACAGAACAACTGATATATATATTCAATACTAAAGCATGTACCAAAGAAATGCTGATAAATGTAGAAAACTGTTTGGTTGTATTCAAGCATTTCAACTATATTATATTTTAATTTCTCAATTTTATCAATTTTTTTATCAGTTCCCCTCTCCTCCCCCCAATTTGAACTGTATGAATTATTTTTTAACTATTTTCTAATTACAATAGTTTTTAAATAGGAATTAAATATTGAAATTTACTTCCACTTCGATTTTACCAAAAATTAATTGACTATAAAATTATTAAATTTTTGTACAAAAGGAATTCTTTTAATCGATTAAAAATTTATGAAAATACATATATTATAACACCACATAATAGTATCGAAAAAAACTAATAAAACATATGATTTACAATTGCATCTGTTTAAAAAGTGAACTTCTCTTCTTCGCGTCCTATTTATCTCTCCTTGCGTAAAGTAGAAAAGTTTAGTTTCTAGCCTAAAATTCAGCATCAGTCCTTGTGAAAAGATCTTGCAAAAAAAAAAAGAAAGAAAGAAAGAAGTCCATGTGAAAAAATTATTGAAAAGAGATGTAAGAAAACCCTTTACTCCTTTCCATTTTTTAGCTAATATTCTGAATCCAAAATACAATAGAAAAAGAAGACTTTCTAAATACATGAAGAAAGAGGCAGAGGANAAAAAAAAAAAAAAAAAGAAGAAGAAGAAGACAGAAATCCATGTGAAAAAATTATTGAAAAGAGATGTAAGAAAGCCCTTACTCCTTTCCATTTTTTAGCTAATATGCTGAATCCAAAATACAATAGAAAAAGAAGACTTTCTAAATACATGAAGAAAGAGGCAGAGGATTGGATTTCTATGAAAAGTGCTGAATGGCTAATTCTAGTGTTGTGTTTCAGAATAAAAGATCTAGTGTGTACCCACACTCATTATTTAATGAAAGTGTGGTGGAGAAAACAAAATAATTGCCCATTTTATGATTCAATTAGCTGGCTGTCCAGCAAGCTCAGCAGCTATTGAATGCAGGTTTTCTACATGTGGAGTTTGGTCCAAACTGCGAAACAATTTAGGTCTCGAAAAAGCTTGTTGAAGTTTATAAGCATTTAATGAGTAAAGCAGAACCAAAAGAGACTGTTACAGAACTTTTAACTAAATATGGTATTCATTTTATTTTTACTTTACCGATATATCATTAATTAATATAAATTACAGAATTTTCTTATAAAATTAATATGTGTTATTGAGATTAAAATACTTTGGTGAAATACAAAGAGTGTTCCATTTTTGCTATGTTAACATATTTTATATTCTTTAAAATATAATATATTTCCATAAAAGAAAAATTTCAAAAATGCATTAACATACCCTCCAACTTATGAGGATTTTGAAAATAATTCTTTCTAGTGGTAGCGAACCAAAGTAGAAATTTTTAAAGCAAATGGATCTCTCATAAAACTTTTATCAGAACTTAAGAATCTAGCCATATGGCCTGCACTTTTATAAGTAATAGTGGACCGCTAAAATTAATTTTTTTTAAATATTAAGACATTAATTTTGCTACCGTCTGAAAAGAAGATTTCTGAAACTACGGAAATTCCGTAGCAGTTGGAGGGTATGCATTAAACATTTTTTGCTCATCCCTTTAGCATGTAATCAAGATTATTTGCTTAAAAATGATTAAATAATTGAGAAAAATATTTAAAAATGTATGAAATTACTATAATAACTGTAGAAAGAAAGACAGACAGAGAAAGAAAGAGGTTGACAAATTAACTCCTTTTTTTGTCATTTCTTAAAATTCCCACTTGGGTTTTATTAGGCCTTTAGAAAAGAAAAAGAAAAAATTGGGGGGGGGGGGCAATTAGGTGGGTAGACAGCCGTGCTTAAAGATTCTTATTTGTGCCATAGTACATCTCCCTACTTGCATCATCTGGTTATAATACCAGGGGTCAGTCTAGGCTTTTCTGAGAGGTACCTATTTTGTGAAAAATTGAAAAATATAGTATTAATAAATCCATATTTTTGTGTTGATTTTTTGTTTCTTAAGGGATAAAAAAATAAAATTTTATGAAAAAATATTTTGTGAAACTACCGTTTTTCCTACAGTTGAATTTGTGAAGGTACCACTAAACGGTAGTAAATTCGACCTGGACAGACCCCTGAATACACTCTGTGTCAGTTTTATTCCTGTGTTTTCGCAGCTGCGTAGATTCTATATTTGTGTCATAATATCCGTTATGTTCTGTAGAATTTTTATTTGTCTGAATAAATTACTTTGGTAATAAATTAACTCTGCTTTTTCTATCTTATGGTGCTCAGCCAAAATTTTGATTTTCAACAAAAGTTTTTTTTTATTCTTTTGTTAGTGAAGTTTTATTTATTTTTTCAGTAATGACTATTCTTTTTGGAAAATCTGATGCAGCTGAAGAGCATATACCATTACCCGAGTCATCAGATGATGATGATGATGATTCTTCATCAGAATTAAGTGAATTGGAGCATGACATGAAAGATCAATTAAATGATATAACAGACTCCGATTCAGATTATTTGCTTACAGATCCCGATGACGAACCTCCTGAGGCTCTATCTTTTAAATCTGCTCGTGAAGCAACGTTGGCACGAAAGAAAAGAACTATTGAAGTTATAGAAATAGATAAAGACGAGAAACGAAGAAAACGAAAGGAGCTTCATGACCAATATATGCTACAAAAAATCGAGAAGGTATTGTTTTATTTTTATAGATGACTATAAATTCTGTATCATTTTTAATTGTTTATATTATAAAATTTGTTTATTTATTTTGTATTTTTTTTTATATGAGCGATATTATTGCAGGAACAGTTGTACAAAATTGTAAATTCTAGTTTCCTTTTTTAAAGCGCAATTTATCATGGCTCATAAATAAAACATTTGTGAGTAGTATTTTAAATTATTATACAGTTGAACCTGTCTATCCCGAACCTCTTTATCTCGAAAACCTCTATATCTCGAAATTTCTAAAATTCCCTACATTTACTGTCTAAAATCAATGTATTTTCCATGCTTATGTTGAATTTTTTTTCATCAAAACCTCCGTTTCTCTAATTTCTAATAATGGAGCACAAATGTCAAAACTTTCTTTATCAGTAGAACTCGTAGATAGAGATGAATTTCGTGGATCCACAGGAAGTAGGGATGAACAGGTTGGGGATGTTTCTTGGAATTTCAATCACTATCCCTGCACTTCCTTAACTAGAAAGGAATACAATGATTCTAGCAGTAAGTGAGGGGTTAATGAGTAGTGACCATGTGCTTTTCAACATAGATAAGAAAACTAAGAATGGAAATTCATTTTGATCTCAAATTTTCAACCAATGGGTCAAAGGATAATTAAGAGTTTTAAAGTGAACTATAGAAAACAGTTGGTATGCAAACTTGTAGATGCCCAGGAAAATGTTGGCTATGAGGAATTTGCAATCTTTTTAACCTCGAAAAAATAATTGAAACAAATAAGGTTATACGTCAAAAATCTTGGAAAAATTATTTTCAGTGTTAAATGTATGTTAAAAAAACTGTTATGTAAATAGATGTATGTGATATAATTAATTTAAAGAAATGTCTATATTTTTCAACTGAAAACAATTAAAGCTTTTTTAATAGAATTTCTTAATTAAATTTAATTTTTTAAAGTACCTGTATAACTCGAAATCTCTTTATCTTGAATTTTTCACCTTTCCCGTGGGATTCGCGATAAACAGGTTTGACTGTATATCTATATTCAAAGCAGTCAAAAGAAAATTTTGACTAGTTTATCAAAAAAAACTAATGGATGGAAAATTACCCTCCAAAAAATTCAATATTAAACTTCGAGAAGTAGAAGGTCATAACATAAAGATTGAGAATCACCAGACAACTCGAGACCAAAAATTTCATCACAGGCTGTTAGAAAACTTTGTTTTTGTTACACATTTGAACTTATGTTTCTATTTACTTGAATTATCCTAATTTTTTGCTTCCTATATTATTACTATATGTGTTTACTATATTTTCATATGATTATTGTCAAATATTGTGTACAAGCAGGCTCAGAAATATTTGTTTACAATTCAATAGCATTTTCATGGACCATATGCAACCAACTTGGAACATAATTTAGTAATATGGTTTGGAAGTCTATGTGCTAATTTGATCAGATTGTTTTTTCCCTGTATATTTTAATGCTTGTATTGATATCTATCTATATCTTTTGATGCCTTTCTTATGTCTTATATCCTTTGTGGATACTGATCTATTAAAAAAGACCAACACACCTGTAAAATATGTATTTAGAAATTTGGATTTGAAGCGTTTATCACGATCTCAGATTTTTATTTCATCTTTAAAAACTAAGCCAGATTAGTCATTTTTCAAGAAAATTATCCAGAACATGGCTCAAAAACATCATCAAGGCTATATTTTGATTTTTAAATAGAATCTTGTTGATAGGGTTGAAAAAAATCAGAAATCCTTTCTTTCAACCATGAATTTGGTGATGCAGATAGTCATTTTGTGGATATAGTGAGGGAGGGTAATTGTGTCAAAATCGTCTCAGAAGATTATTAAGATATGAGAAGGGATTTGTCGAATGGCGTCAGTGCAGCAAATGCAATGATATAACGTTATTGATAAGAATTTAAAATTTTTAACATTTTCATGGTTTGCAGTGTTAACAATGTAAAGTGAACTATCTTGAAATCGTCTGCACTGAATATTGTTTCATTAATATTAAATCATTTTGTTTTATTTATAAAAATTTAATAATTTCCTTTATACATACAAATTTGATTTTGTCTTTTATTGTAGCGGCAAAAAATTGAGTCTAAGTTGCTACCTGAAAATGTGATTGAAGAACTGAATGATCAACCAGGCTTAGAAACTGCTGCCTATAATGAAAAAAATAGTAATGTTTACTTAATTTATTTTTCTTTTAAATTATTTTGAATATGTACTTAGCAGCCTCTAGAACTAATTTAATCCAATATTATTGAACTTCTCAACAAAACAAAAATTTAACTTGTTTCTCTTTCTTTATACTTTTGTTCTAAACCTATAAAAATGTGTGTTATTAATTGTTTCACATCTATGATTAACTATCAGGAAAGCCTTTCTTGCCTCCAAAACTTTGTTAAAAACAGAAAAAACTATAATTGAAATTGTTAATCAATTTGACCTATTATTGCTTCATATGCAAATAGCAAATTTTAATTTTCTATCTTAATTTTTAATTCCAATACATAAATTATATTAATTAAATCAGATACATTGCAACTAACTAATGGGGAAAAATAATAAAAAATTGTAAATAATAAATTAGAATCTTTTATACTTAATTTTTTTATTTATTTCCTAACTCCATTACAATCATATTTTTGTCACATTTCAAATCATATTTTTTGTGTAATGTAAGAGTACATTGTTAGATTACATAGTATGAGATTAGTTGTATTTAAATTGCAATATTTTTCTTATAATTTGAGAGAAAGAAATTTGCAAGCTAGCATCGCATTTGCAAATGTGTCCATCCATCAATACTTTATTGAAAAAGTATTTTCCAATTTTTTTAGTTGTCTTCTCAAAACCTCTAAAAAGGTAGACCATAACTGGGGTTTCAAGTTTGTTACTAGAAAAAAGGACTAAAATTTACGGATGGTTTGAGAAAAATTTTAAACTCTTCAAATAAAAAAAATGTGTTTGCTCTGAAACACTACACTGAATCTGGTACAAGTAATAAAAGCTTCTGAAAAACCTGAAGAAATTGTAATTTATTTATTTTTTTTTTCGTTTCTGCAATATTTGTATTTATTTATTTATTTTATTTTCAAATTATCAACGTTTTGGCACATATTATTGTACATTGTTCGTCAAATGTTTATTTGCAGACAATTCAACATGTTTTTTAACACTAAGGATTAAGAAATCTCATTGTCCAGTGTACACCTTACCCCTTTAATTAGGATAGAAAAGCTAAACTTTTTCTTTCTTTTGTAATCTTTTGGCACTATTTTAGAGTGGCATTATTTTAGAGTTAAAAGTAATATTTAGACTGCCTACCTGACTGATGAGAATATGGTCAACTTTTAAACTATTTTCTTTTTGTTTTTCTATTGCTTTATTCTCCTAAATGTTTTATCATTTATGCATTAGGAATTTTGATGCCTTAAAAAACCACTAGTTGTTATTTAAATGTTAGTAAAAGGAAAAAAATCCAAAAAGCTTCTTATTTTAAGCAATTTTTGCACAAATCTTAGCAATTCCAAAAATTTGCAAAATTAGATTTAAAAAAAAAAGACATTAAAATTTTGCGGAAATTTACGTTGTGAGAAACTTGTGAGCAGTTGTGAAATTGGTATCTAATTTTGTTTCGAGAGAAAAGATGTTTCAAAGCTTGTATTATATTATGGCATGTTAAAACAATAAAAATCGTACTGTGATGATGAAAAGGAAAATGCAACAGAATGTTTAATAATTTCTTATTTTTATTTATTATTAGTTATTTAAATTTTTTGGAATATTTATTTGCAACATAAAGATACCTCAAATTCCACACCTTATCTCCTGCTTAGGACTTGAGAGGAAAGGTTTGAAACAAGGAACTTTTCTTGTTTGAGGTTTTCTAAAGATATATAAACTCATTTTGAATAAGCAACAACAACATAAAGACTGGCAACTAGTATTTTTTTTCTTCAATCAAATAGATGATGGTTCTCCATGATGAACTTGACACAGGTCATTTTATTTCCTCTAAACAAAAATTTTATTCTATTTGATATTTGTTAAAGGGGTATGGTTATTTTTCACTCTTAATTAAGTAATTTTATAAAAGTGTGTTTGAAATTGTTCCTAAAATACCGCATGATCAATGAATGGGTATTAAACAGATCAACACAAGTTGCCATAAGAAAGTACCATTGATTCCTTTTAAGAGTATATCACATAATTGTAGTTCTAGTATGAACAATTAGATCAAATCTAATTTCATTTAACTTGTTTAAAACAATTATTATGAATAAACATTTATCACTATTCTGATAAATTGATGTTTTTTATTAAAATGGTTTTTTACTTATAAGTGTTTTTTTTAAAATTATCTTAACTTATTAGTTTTTAACTATTAATTTAAATATCATTATCAGTTACTTTAGACAAGAAGGAAGAAAAAGAAGAGGAGGTTGATGCTGAAGTTGTTAAAGAAGAAATTATTGAAAAACATGGGTGAGAAATGTATATTATATTTTTATTGAGAAAAAAAACAATACATCTTTACATTTGTGGAAAAATGGTTTTAAATCTTACTTTTTATTACAGTTTATTAAAAAGCATAAATTATTAATTGCCTTGAAAATACTGGGGGAGATAAACGAATATATAAAAATAATTTACTTATTACCAATGGATACTAAATTTAAACTCATAGATCTGAAAATTTCTTAAATGGATCCATCAATGTAGGGAAGTGTCATGTACCCCCGCCCGTTGTCAATTTCATATGTGTAGAATATATTTTCAAGTCAATGAACCATCGGACATTAATTGTTCTATTTAAAATAAAATCTCAAAATTTCAAGTATTTATGCAGCTGGTAACATGGTAAACAATAGTTTTGAAAATATGTTGAATACAGTAGTCATGAAATGAAGAAAAATCGGTTGAATTTTGTGATAAAAATGATAAATGAGTTTATCTATTGTCAATACATTGGTCATTTTCATTTACACTTGAAAAAACAGTGAAAAAAAAAAACAATTTTTGTAACTGGGCGGGGCTACCCAACACATTTTGAAAAGAGCTGAAAAACATGTTTTTTCACATTTCTATTTTTTTAAAGTTAAACTATTCTTTTTTTGGTTTATTCTTTTTTCATTATTTAATTAGATGATAAAACAATAGAAACATACAAAAATATTGATTATTACTCAATATTATACAGAAATATAAGCAATACTCCTTAAGTGGGCGGGGCTACCCAACTCTCCTCTACTTAAAAAATTAAAGTTAATATTAAATACTGTGTTAATTAAGTTGAACAGAACCTTCTTCTGAAGTTACATTAATAAAAGTACAATTGACTCTTGATATAACAACCACTATAGTCTAAAGGAAAACTTCAGGTCTGTGGAATTGAAAATGGTACCTTATGTGTTGATTACTTTAAGGGAAGGGCTGTTATTACAGTGAAGGGTGTAATTTGCATATTTTAAAACTGAAAATACATCATGAATGAATTTGATTAAAATTTTTCTAAATGATTCCATTTATTGTTCAATTTGAGCTAACTACAAAAAACAGAAAAAATTGGAAACTTTTTTAAGATATTTTTTCTTCAATTTTTAATACCATTTGGCATTTTATTTATTTTTTCATAGGTTCAAAGTCATTTTGAAGAAAATAAAGCTACAGATTAAGTGCCTTATATTTTAGGCTGTGTATACAATATTGCCATGAAGAGTTATCTGGGCAAATGAACAAATAACTTAAATATTTTAAAGTTATTAAACTTTTTTTAATAAAATCATCAATTAAGAGAAATTTTTCAACCTTGAAAAAAATTATCAAAATCAACAAATAATTCTTGATGTTTTCAAATTTTTATGAGCCTAAATAATGCAGTGTAAATGTAACTTATCAAATATTAAAAAACTTGATCATAAATGCTTTTCATTTTCACAAACTGGGGCTTTTTCTTTTCTTGACATCTTGCAAAAATTTCAAAATTACCATTAATTCAGAAATCAAAAATAAATGTTGGCATTTTTATATGCTCTCATTTACCTAACAAATGAAGAAAAAAAAGCTTCTATTGTATTGTATTGTATCAATACTTAATATATCTTTGTATTCTTTATTGATATTAGCGTGTATAAATACATTTAAAAGATTTTAAAAATTGTACACAAGTAAAAATATGCCTATATGCCATCATTAGAAAAGATATGTAAATAAATTTTGAATTTGACAAAAATTTATATCATGCATATTGTGTAAATTAGTATTGTATGTTCATTTGATTGTCTATTTTCTGTTTTCCAACTTTTAGGCTGTTCTTGTTTGAGGTTGTTCTTAATGTTAGTGATTTTCCTAGCAATCTTAATGCAGTTCTCTGTGGAAAAGATATAAATTTTAGGAGTGATTTATTACATAACCACTAAAAAATGAGAGTTCAATATGAAATTTTTTATACAATTTTACATCAAGTTTACTATACTCTTTCTGATAGACCCAATATTACTTTATCAGAAATCATGTTTATACTTCTTACAGTGTTTTATTTCTCAGTTATAATAAAATTAAGCAAATTTTTTTGAAATTCTACTTAAATCACTAACTGAAAATAATCAAACTTATCTTAATTTATGCTTAAGAATCGAATAATTTTCTCTTACTTAATAAGGTGTCTAGTGTGGTTAATTCTAATAAGTTTGCCAAATAAATTATATAGCATCATTTTAACACATTGTCTTTTTTAATTGAAATTTGAACATTTTGTCTTCATTTTGCATAGAAAAAGTCTAATTTGAGTTTAAACTTTTGTAATTTTTTAAAAAAAAAGTAAAACATTTTTGTTAACATTAGCATTAGGAAATGGGACAGTGTAGACGCTTGACAAAATTTTAATCTATTGTTACTCTTAAAAAATATCGAAAAATTGAAATTAAGCTAATTGTAGTCTATAAGTAAGATACAAGCTGAAACCTATTCCAACTAAGTAAAGTTTTATTCAAAGATAAACTACTACATTAGAAATCTTATTTTTAATATTTATTTTGTAGAAATAAATATTAATTTAATGGAACTTTGCTTTTCTTTTATGAAGTAGAATGACAAATCAGTCATCAAAAATTTTTAAAAGGTTATTGTTAAAACTACTATTTTAAAAACAATTAGATTCTGTAGGTAATCAATATTCTGAATTTAAAATAAAAGAACTTAAAATGTTGTAGCATTAGTTTTTCATAAGTTCTTTAACATATAGAAACAAATCCAATTTAATTCATTATTTAGGTAAATTCTATTTTGATCACTTTGTTTTTCTACTTTGCTTAAAACAATCATTTCTTGTAGCCCTACTTTGTTCAAGTGTAAAAGTTTGGCTGAGGAAGATAAAATTCGAAAAAATGAACTTGGAAGTGTTAGAACCCTTAAAGATCGTTTATTGTATAGTGGTCGCATTCGCAGAGAAAAAAGTAGTAAGTGTGCATTTATTAAATAATATTTTTTGTATTTATGTTTTTATCAATATCAAAAAATTCAGAACTTATTTGGGATTTTTTATCCTCAAAATATTAGGGATAGCCGCAATCTGGAAAGTATGGTCCCAATAGTTTAGGCTGGAAATCATTCGAAAATTTGGGACCCTTAATATTAATTTCACTTTTTGTTTATTTCTCTTTATCCAAGGATTTTTTGCCAGGAATCTAAATTTAGAGTTTTGGGAAAAATAGTTTGACTTTTTTCAAAAAACATAAATAAATTTTGTGAAAATAATTATCAAAATTTTCCTTGTGGAAAATTACATTTTTGTAAACATAATCATGATTGTAATATTTAAGCTAACAGTCACGATGGAAATATATCATATGAAATAAATAGTTTTACTCAGCTTTCAAAAATCAACTTATATCAATGCTTGATTTTCAGCAATATATTAAAATTATAAACTTAGCAAAATAATCTTTCAATAACGCATTATAATATTAAAATATAAATATATCAGGATATATAAAGTGATTCAGGGATGATTGTGTCTTGATGAAAAAAGTACTTGAAATCTTAACCTAAAAAATTTATATTTAGAGGGTTATTCTGAATTTAGAAAATTATGAATTCTAACTATAATTTTTTATGAAGGAAAGGAAATTGATTTATTTCTTTTGAATCTAATTTCATGGCATTTTATTACTTACATATTAAAATACAAATGAATTATAATCCTCAGAACTAACTACATAATTTGGCTTATTAACATTATAAGCCATATTCTTTTAAGAAATAAAAACAGGTACATTTGACAACTAACTATTGAGTTTCAGGGCTGATTGTGCTCCGGAAAAAATCCGGATTTCCGGATTTTTTGCTAACAGTGATCCGGACGTTTCCGGAGATCGAAGGTCCAGACGTTTTAAAAAAATCATTGATCACAGATGTTTCCGGAAATCAAATTTTCAAAGGTGGAACTTAAAAACACTGTTTATTTTATTTGTTTGTAAGGGAGAGCCAGATAGATACTTTATAAGCTTATATTCATGATTAATATTCATATTTTATTAGTAAAGAGTTGTTATAATCATAAACTCAAGAAAGGACATATTTGTAAATTTTAATTACTTCTCCAAGTCATCATAGGTATGTGTAAATGGTATAGGTATGTGTAAAATTTTAAATATATTTTAAGTAAACTAAGAAATATTGAGAAAATGAAAAAACCTTGTTTAAATTTTTTCTAATTTTTCATTTTAAACTATTTTTTTTAACTTAAGAAATTTTCCGGAATTTTGACTTGGGCTCACAATCACCCCTGGAGATTGTTAGATAAAGATTATTTGAACTCAGATTTAGATCATTCTTAAATAATAAATAAAAATAGCTTCAGAAAAATGATGGAAATATTTTAAAATGATATTTTAATTATTTGTGTGAACATGAAATTTAAATATTATTAATGTGCTTTAATTTATAAGTAGTATACAAAATTTATTCTTTTCTTGTTTTTTAAGCTCTGAAATAACTCTCATGAATACAAATCCTGATGTTTGATTTTAAAACACAGGAATACGAATCGCAATATTGGATTCTAATAAGGTCTACAAATCACGACTTTTGATTTTTGAATCTCAATATGCAATTTTTTACATTGTGTTATTATATAACATAATGTGTAACTTTTAAATCATGTAATTCTAAAATCTACGTTTGATATAAAAACCGTGTAAATACTAATTCCGAAATTCGATTTTTAAACCACATAAATACAAGTCGCGATGTTTGATTTTAAAATCACTAGAATTTAAATTGCTATGTTTGATTTTCAAATCGAATGGAGACAATATTTAACAAATTATGGCTTATAAGCGGCAATTAATTTACCAATTGCAATTCGTTAATCAGGTTAATACGAATATTGAAAAATTCTATTCAAAAAACATGTGAAATACAGAGTCGTGACTTACGTGGATGTTGATTGAAGATTGTGATGGTGGTAAATCATATTAATGTAATGCGTGATTTGTAGCCACCTTAACGCAAATTGTGATATCAATTTTATAAATTGCTTTCTTTAGTTTTCCCTCATCAAGATCATCAAAAAATCTGTGTTTTCAAATACAAGAAAAATCAGAATTTTCTTTGAAAATAGTTGAATTTCTGATTTTTCTTGAAACTGCTGGAGTTTTGATATTTTACTAAAAGGCAATTCCTTCGGCAAATTTTAAAAAGAATCCACAAAATTTAAGAATTTTTGTGGATGTATCTGGGCATAACGTTTGCCTACATTACGTAACTCTGCCTTTGATCTTTTCTATTCTCCTCTAATTACAATCTGTTGATGTTTTCATGTCATATTCATTATCTTGTTTCTTTCTTTCATAGCTATGTTAGAAGACTATTTTTGTCATAATTCATTTAAAAAACATTTGTTAAAGAAAATTTCCTTTTAGTTATAACAAAATGTATGTTTGGATTTTACAGATCATTACAGATTTTTGTGAGGTCCATTTAAGTAGCTTAGAATTTTGTAAAGAATCCGTTTTTAGAAATCAGAATTTTCTGGATGGTTTGTTTTTAAGAATCGGAATTTTGTGAAAGGTCTATCAATAATACCAATTTATTCCTAGGAACCTGATTTCTAGAAAGCTTTTTCGTGCACATAATAATATTATGAATAAAATTCACTTAGCCGAAAAATAGTTCTAAGTCAATTTTTTATAATCATTTATATTTATTTAATAATAGTCTGAAAAAAAATTTGTAAGATATACAAATGTTTGCATCATTTCAAACAATGTAAGTTTAAATGAAGTACAGAATTTTAAGAAAATCAGTCAAAAAAATTTTTAACAAGGTTGTATATTTAAAAACCATTAAAGGATTTCCGTTTTTAATATTTTACACTGTACATACCTAAAAATTTTAGTCTAAAATAAAAGTTGGGGAGCTATTGGTTAACTGAAGCAATCTGAAAGGAACTGTGCAAGTAAGGGGTTTGCTGTTGCTCCCTTATATTCTATATACTTTTTTCTATTAAATTGAATCAAACAATTAAAATTATGTTGTTCAATTTAACTTTTATTTTATTTTTTCAGGTAAAGATGCAGATGCAAAAAGGAAAAAACAGTTAGTAGTGAGAGGCTCAACTAGCAATAACTTCAAAAAAAGTAAAGAATGATAAAACTTATTTGTAAATATGTATAAATAAATTACTTGAAAAAGAACAGCTTCTAATTTTGTTAGTCGATTTTAACTATATTTGCTAAGCTCTAATATTTAAAAATTAGATTTTATTTAAAGCTTTATTTCACTATTTAAATATTCAGGAAATACAAATTAATGTTTGGCATTCAGAAAAAACTTTCTCTCTCTAAAAATTATGTTGCTGTTTGTTTTCTGATTAGTGCTTGTTAAAACATACATTATTGGTTTTAGGGGTGAAAACCATAAACAACTTTTGCTCCTTTTTTTTCTCTTTTATTACGCACATTATTTAAATAAAAATTTTGTTATGCTTGCCTCTTTTTTTTTCCTGTATTTTTAAAAGACTATATTTTTTAGAACTAGGATTCTAAATTTTGAAGAAAAAAATTTCTAGTTGCTTTATTTTTTCTTTAATTTATTTTTTATCAAACAAATTCTTATTTTTTTCATGTTTCATGTGTGGTATAACACTTAAAATGGGGTGTATGGTGTCTTATATGCAGTTTTCAATAAATAGACTTAGTAAACGAATAGAAAACTTTATTTAATTTATGTATAAAATGCCAAATAAAATATATAGTTTTTTATGATCTTTTCTTGTGTTTCACAATCTTGACAATATTTTATTGTGACTGTTATATAATTTTTAGATTAACTTTTCTCAACAAATGCATTTTCACACACTAGTACAAAACTTTATTATCTTTCTAGGTCATCATCCATCAGTGTAATATTAAAAAATGCACACTGAAGTGGCAATTTAAATTAAACTCAGTGATACATATTTGAGCACTGATTTAGAATAGTATTTCCAGAGTTGCCACAGAAAAAAATGAACAAAATAGTTGCTTTTAGTAGCCTAAAGCATGAAAATAGTAGCCCAAAACTAGGAAAATAGTTGTCTGAATATAATTCTAGAATTCTAGAGAGAATAAAAATTCATCAGAAATATGACTAGAATTTTGTTAATGACTTAATCGTCATATACCATGATGAATTCAGTCAAGTTGGTGGCAAATATGATAATTTTTATATAAACGGTTAATGTATATATATATATATATATATGGAAAGTGATTACTCAAATTCGAAATTCACGCATCATAATATTGTATTAAAATTTATTTATTTTTTTAAATCATGCTGAATTTCGTTGCAATAATCACTGAAAAGGCGACCGAGAAATGAAATAAGACTTACAATGGAATCTGTGCATATTTAACGATTTAAAAAGTGAAGACTCAAATTTGCAGATTAAAGTTTTCAACATTTTTTATTTTTTAAGAAAAAAAGTTCAGTGTGCTCAAAAACTATCTCACGGAGAGTAGATTTCCCACCAATTTATGATTAAAAAAAATAAAATAATAATAAACATAGCTAGGAGTACAGAAAAGTCTCCCAATAGTCACCTTTTCCTGAAAATAGTTGCTTTTTTAGCTTTTTCGGGGGGGGGGAAGTTGCCATAGTCGCCTCATGCAAAAAATAGTTGCAATTTAGTTGCCTGTGGCAACCCTGTTACTTTTACTTTACCCTGTGGTTTTTACTTTAATAAATTATATTATGTCTCTTTTATAAGTCATTCTAAAATAAATTTCTAATTGATTTTTTTTTTGTAACCCTGAATGAANTTTTTTTTTTTTTTGTAGCCCTGAATGAAAAAAAAAATAATGCTTGTTATCTGTATGTAAATATGCACAAGTGAAATGCAAAAAAAAGAATAAATAAACAGATTTATTGTATAAATATAAACTAGAAAATATCTATTAAATTGTAATTCATTTGTTTTAAATAGTGAAGAACAAATTATCTCATGAGGGATGTTGTAAAGTAACTGAAAAGTAGGCAACTCAAAAGAATTTGCATTGCTAGTTGAAGAGTGTTGCTTCCATTGCATCCATCTTCTTCACATTCACAGATTGTTTCTTTGAGATCACGATTAGAATTATAAAAGCAATCAAATTTTGGATGTTTTGTGTATCCACAGCTGCGCTTTGTTCTTGAAGAGTCTTCGTTCCCTTGGGAATGGAGGGGGGAAAGATAAATATGATTAATAAATATTTTTGAAAAAAATCTTGGGTAATAATATGTTTAATCCACAATGCTATAGACCAGGGTATGAAATATCCATTTTAAAGACACTAGCCTAACTGAAATATTTGCTCGGCACTATTTTACGTTTGTGAAAAATATTAATGAATTTTAAAATGTTAACCTATACAGTTTGAAGAACTTTATAGTGAATTATAAAAGAATGCAGAAACATAAAAGTCAAAACATGTTTACTGCAGTATAATAATTTTAAATTAAAGAATATTAAATCACTGAAATAAGCAACTTCACGTTAAATTAAGGCTAGTGTTAAACAAGGTCAGTATAATGTTATGAAATATATTAAAATTAAAACAGTCAATTAGTTTTGAAAAATTTTATATTAATTGACACATATTAATTTTTGTAAGATCTTTTATTTAAAATCTGATATTCTATTGTAATTTTTTACTACGTAATCAAAAAGGACATGTTGTGCCGAATATAAATTTTATAAAAATAATGTATATTTTTCTTTTAAAAAAATCCTCCAGTAGGATTGTAAATCAAAAACAGAAAATGAACTGGTTTTTAATTTGAACTTCTGGATCAAGTACTTTATTTTATAACCGTTGTTGAATAGTCGACCCAATTTTTTAGATATGTTCACCACCATACCCTAGTAATTAACTCAATCCAGCAGACAAGGGAACTCCTGGATCAAGTATTAGGAGAAATTTTATCTTTGTGGAGGTCTTTTTGAGGGAACTAACCCGCATATGCGTTGCATGGAGAGGAAAACTTCCCATCATTAGCCTAACGGCAAAGGGACTTTAACCCATGATCCGTCTACTACTGAGGATATTTTTTTCATATATCCTCAGTAATAATAATGAATTAGTCATAAATATTTTACTTCACCACTGTGGTCAGTGCAATCTGGGTGCGGAATTTACATCGTCCAGCCATTGATGGGATTCGAACCCAGGTGCACCTGATTGGAAGGCGAACGCTCTATCCTCAGGCAGGGCTAAAGAGAAGAGAAATACTGGTTCACTCCTTTGAAGAAACTCTCGCCGCGCCAAACCTCCGATTTTCTCCAGTGACGTCACTATGGCTCGAAACTTGCACTTTTACTTCAAGAACAGAGCGTTTGGTCTAACTAGCTCTAACTAATATTGGAGCATTCCTTTTTGCGACATATTCCAAGACATTTGTTGTTTTATAAAATGATTTTCCTCAGTTTATTGCAGTGAATTTGCAAAAATGTAAAACTATTAATGAAATTCCAGTTTGCGCAATTGCAACTTGCAAAAATTCTGATAGAAACACAAAAGGAAAAAATATAATTTTCCACGTGTTCCCTAAAGTAAGTGAACAACTATGTAAAGAATGGATTCAACGAATTGCAACCGAAATGACACAGTTAATATAAAACAGCAATACATTTATTCTATCGTTAAGAACTTTTATAAAAATTCACCATCTAAATAGAAATCGCCTTGTTACTTCAAAAAGAAAGGCAGGTGAAAAAATTAAAAATGGATAAAGTCAAAGAAAATTAAAGCGTAAATAAAAAGTATAAATAAAATATGTAGTATATAGTTAGAATTCTCCTAATTTCATAACATATTTTTCAGTGTAGTTATTCTAAATATTTATGATTTTTTTTATATTCTCTTAAAATTAAATATCGATAAATTATATTAAATTTAAATATCTATAAACAATTGTAAAATTTCAAATATCATTATGAACCTAAATTATTATTTTGTTTCAGTAATTAGCGTTTAAGGTTGATGTTTCCTAATGATTAAGTATGAACAAATTGCTATTAACGACATATTTTAAAATCAGGGATTCTAAATTTAACTTA